AATCAAATCAAGTTGATATATCCTAATCCAATATGAATTATGACCCCTTTGTAAGCCTCAGTTGTTGTTCTTGCCCATTGTCTGTGCATTTAAGCTATCTGCTTTCTAAATCTTATTACGGCGGTCTGCTCAAACGGTTCTCTCGTCGGCTTAGCCTGGATCCCAGCGAATTTCTTCAAATGTCGCTTGGGGATGCTAATGAAACGTGTCTTTCAAGTCTTAGAAAACGTTTCTTTTGACATTCTTTTGTTCCAATTGCATTTGTGGGGTGCAGAAGTAGGGGTGTGCATGCATGCTCAGGATCATAATGGATCTTTGCAGATTGGATTTATATCATAAGCAAGGAATTACAGTTTCAAATTCAAGTGGGGATACGCTGTTATGATAATCTGGATATAAAGCGCTTAATACAAAATACTGCTTCTAAGCATTTAAAAGATATTATTACCCCTGTCATCAGATTCAATCATGCACAATTTGCACCATCTCTACTCCCTGGGGAGTGTTCCTACTATAAGGTCAGGGCATTTGGCAAATACCAATACAAAGGCTTTTGTCATCCTACCGGGAGCCCCATTACTCTCCTGGGTATGGAGTGGCAAATATAGATTAATGCCCTGCCTGGGCATGAGCATGAGAGCTGTGTCGAGGATTGAACCCATGACCTTTGCGTTTCAAGTCAAGTGCTTAAACCACTCGACTACGACACCTCTACATGTGAAGAGGTTGTTATGAAATATGAAATGCTTGCCTATATTTCATCTGAATTCAATTTTTACATTTCATTAACAAGGGAATGCAATCTTACAGACGTGGACTCGTCTTTTATGTCAGGTGGAGAGAGAAAAATGCATGCATTATATTTGAAAATAGAGAGACAGAGAGATCGATAGTTGTAACAGAATCGTAAAAATGGAGAGACAGAGAGATAGTTGTAACAGAATAGTATGAACACTTAGTACATGAACACATCATGGAACCATGCACATACCCGGTACATAGTAGCCGTAGCATAATAATGTCAAGGGCTATTACTCGTCAGGAAACAAATTAATTCTTTTAGATTGATCTATTATTGTCCTGCAACTGACATTGATTACAATGCTGAAACTCAAGGCTGATTCACTGATGCCCAGTAGGGGGAAAAAATGCAGTAAAAATTCACTTTGTTCTTACGACAATGGATAATACCACGTCGCGCCTAATGGAGATTGATACTCCTAATCAGATGAAATTATAAATGACAGTTCCGTTGTGGACAAACGGGGATCGAGGATCATAAATGGCATCGTTATGGGGGGAAATGAGAGAAATTTGACAATAGCAGAGCAATTTGACTAGGTATCATGTCTCTAGTCGTGCAGTCTGACTAAAATGGGATCTCATGTCTATCTTCATGAATGGACCATTTATTAGGGGAGTAATCAAAGTCATATCTGTCTCAATTTGGTGGCAGATTTTGACATCGTGCAGCCTCCATTTTGCAAATGAAGATGACCTAATTTCATATATTTTTGCCTAGGCTAAATTCTGATTGAGCTTATAAGCTATGCAAGGTCTTACCCACGGTCATTGACATTAAGTTTATTCATAGTATTTTGTATGTACATAGATGTATTGCAGTGTTTTTTATTGGCATTCTCATTTTTTATTTTGCCATTTGTTTTTGATGCATTTCACTGGTAAATCTATTAGAAAGTGAAATGAAATATATATGCCTGTGACAAATCTTAATGGGGAAAGCAGTGATGTTCACTTTCATTCTATATCTACATAATACCAAATAATGTTTAATGTACATATCATATAAACATAATCCCTATTGCACACACACAAAAATCACAAAATATGAATAGAATTGGAAATAAATTCAGAGAAATCTTTTATATGTCTCCTTTGAGGAAATGATCGTAACATATATTTTTCGTTTCACATTCTTGTACACATTTTCTTGACTTTTTTTTCTAGTTGTAGCTTCAAGTTACTAACCAAAGATATGGATACTGCACAACACATGATTTATCACATGCAACTTCATGTTAAAAATCCCCTGGCATCTCGAGGAGAAAATTTTACACTTTTGTTTAAAAAATCTGGCTTTCTTTTGTGAGAAGGGGGCGAAATCGTGCCAATGTTTTTCCACAAAACCCAAATGTTTTCATATTTCAGCGGAAAAATATTGACATTCAGCTTTTGACGACAGCCCCTCGAGCCATTCCCAAAGTAACTCTACAGCACATTTCTGCCTGGTTGTTAGTCCGTTGGAGCCGGCTATTTCCTCTCTTATGTTTTAGAAACATTCTACGGTAGGCAAAACCAACCACAGTTTCTGTATGCTCTCCTTTAGAGAGGAACACAAAAAAATGGTATGATTTCAAAAACAGAGAGCACCCTGAGCTGTTTTCAATTATTCATTTTTTTGGAGTCTAATCCATCACCGGAGGAAAAAATACCAATGTTAGCAACTGTTAGATATTTTCATAAGCATGTCTTGTAACAGTGCATATAAAAAGACATGCTCAATAGTGTGTGTGTGAGTGTGGGGTGGGAGGGGGGGAGGGGGGATGGGGTAGTGTACAGGTTTACAATTTCGAACTCTTTAAGTGAAATTTAAACTTGAACCTGAGATGAATACCTGGAAAAGTTGTCACGCAAATGTGGTTTCCTACTTTCAACCCTGACTTGATATCCCGTGGAGTTGTTGATTACTCCTGCGGAGTTCACAACAACTCATGAGATAAATATAAAGTATATCTACAGAAGAATGGATGATCCATAATAGTATTTTTTCTCTTGTGTTACATTTGTAACTTGTATGTCAATATGCCAAGTTTTCTTTGAGCAGCATACAATTTCTCAGAAAATTATCTTATCATTCATTAAAAAAATACCTGTAGGTTTGATTTATCAATAATGAACTGCATAGAGTAAATCATGTAAACAGTTCTCTCAATTAGTTGATGATAATAAGTGATGTATGTTTTTCTATATATTGTGGAGCGCCAGGAGTGCACAAGTCCAACAGACATGAGCGGTATACAAGAACCCACCATCATTATTTAAAAAAATATTTTTTTCTTCATGAATTTATGTTATTCTTTACCCCATCTGTTCTTTATGTTCCTCCCTATCTCTTTCAAATTCTGTTCATGTACTATTTCTTCCTTCTCTTCAGCTTCTCCATTCTTCTCTCTCCCAATTTCTCCCCCCCCTTTTTTTTTTCTCTCTCTCTCTTACCACATTGCTACTCTTGTGTTCAACTTTTGTACCCTTCACATCCCTTGGAAGTTTACTCTGCTCTCATAATGCTGAATCACACCTGTCAATCCCAACACCAGTGTGTACACAGAAGAAGTCTCTACAGATCGTAGCCTTTGTATAGCGAGAGTTGAGACAAGTTCAGCAGGGAATATTCATAGGAAAGGGGGGCTATATAGTCCACCCCAACTCTCCATCCATCAGATCTAAGAATAAAGCAAATTGTTTGATGGTTTATGACAAGTTTTTTGTTAGCTTATTAAACAGAAGAGGAAGGCAACCTCAATCATATATTTCTAACCCTTCACCTGTTAAACAATCTAGGTGTATATCTTGGCAGAGCAAAGTTTTATGAATGTATGTAGAGGTGTTTTGGTAGCCTTTGAGAAGAGTTTAAAGAACAATGTGGAAACTCTTAACCAGTGCATTTACTTGATGCAAGCCAGGTTCTTAATATTAGGGAGAGTCAGGCAATGGCTGTAGATCGAGGGTTCAATGGCCACATGTGCATGGGCCTTGCTATAGATTTAATTGAAAACTATCTGAACTTTCCTTTACATGATTCTAGAAGAAACAATTCAAAATTGAAAGAAATACAGATTTGACCACTTACAAGTAAGCTTCTGGTTGTGCTTTGAAGGAAGGGTAAAAAGACATAAATTGTTTCTTTCTTCATTGTGTCATTATAGTATTGAATTGAATTGAAATGGTATTTATTATGAAATCCATATGGAAGTCCAAGGGCAGAATTTCATGGAGTTTACAAAGTAAGATCACAAAAAACACAAAATGTCTTACAAATCTATTCATATATCATAGTCATACACTAATATAAAGGAGAGAAGCAGAAACAGAGAGAGGCCGGAGAGAGAGAGAGAGAGAGATGGAGAGACGAGACAGAACAGAGAGGAGGAGAAACATTAGGGAGATGTTAGTTTGACCCCGTTCTCACTCACTTTGAAAGTGGTCTTAGTTAGACCGCTCCAGAGGAACGGGTCTTGAGGAACGGTTTGCGAGCGTTCACACTCCGAGCAGTTTTTTATGGCTCAAACCGCTCCACGAGTCAAAGTGGTCTTGTTGCTATGGCAGCTCAGGTCAGCAGGTCAATTTTTTCGCGCGCTGAATACAAACCGTATGTATCGTACTACATGTTTCGCACCAAAGGTCACTAGCTCACTTCCGTTCAAAGTACGCTTCCGTTCACATTGCACGTTAGAGCGCTCCAAACCGCTCTTAATAAGACCCGCTCCTCAAGACCACCTCGGAAGGTGGTCTCCTGGAGCGGTCCAGAAGTCCACTTCCTGGACCACTTTGACCGTTCTCACTCACCTAAGAACCGCTCCTGAGGAACGGGTCTTAGAGCGCTCCAGAGCGCTCCAACGAAGTGAGTGAGAACGGGGTCTTAGTCACCTGGTCAGCTCTCTGTTATCCTATATAAACTGACACTGATGAAACTCTGATGAACATTGATTTGAAACAGAGTCGTGTTTTGGGAGTGGTGATGTTACAGATCGGTACGCAGGCATGAATAATTATATCTGACTGATATACAACTGTGAAAATCAAATTATACAAACAGTATCAGTGGTGCTTAGAGATTATGTTTTCTAAGATGCTACTTTCCAAATTGTACCATCTTTTGCAGGATTCTAGTTTTGGAATCATACATTGATATAGTTTTACTTGCAATTTTTACACTTGAAGTTGAATCTTTTGTTATTTTTCATTTTTATATCTTTCAGACGACTGGAGCAGAACTATATCACAGAGATTCCGCCAAGGGCTTTCTCACCTTACAAGAAACTGAAGAGGATGTAAGTATGAAGGACACAAAATATAATAATTATGATGATGATAGTAATTACAATAATAATAATAATAGTAATAGTAATACCGGTTTTTTAAAGAGTGCTTTACCATTAACTGACCAAAGTGCTTACTGTATAATACCAATTAACACCTGGGTGGAGAGGAGCAATTTAGATAAAATGCCTTGCTCAAGGATAACACGTGCCGGTGCAGGGCTCGAACGTACAACCTTTGCATTTCCATACATTCCCATCATAAAAGCTAAAATTTTCATATTATTGGTTTTGATTGCAAAAGCCACTTTACATGATGTATAATAGTGAAGCATGACATTTCAATATTGTTATCCAACTTTACAATGTGGTAAAAATGACAACTTATACTTAAAAACAGATGTGAAACGTCTCTCTAAAGTATATGCCTATACTGTAGTGTACCTAATGAAATATTTTTATTATGAAAGTTATTTAGTTTTCATAATACTCGAAAAAGTCATAATGTTACATGTACACCTTAATCGTATGAAACAAAATATTTGATAATTAATACATCTTTTTTTCTCTCTCCAAATTTCATTTTCAGAGACTTGAGTAACAATTTAATAGAGACCATTGCAGAAGATGCCTTCAGTGGTTTAAGGACACTCAACTCACTGTAAGTATTTCAAATTGTTTGAATCTGTAATTTCAGTCAATGGATGTGGAAATCTAGTATGAATTGAAAGAAAGAAAGAAAGATTGTTTACAGCTACGTTGTATGTTCAATTCAATTTATTTATGTTTCCAACAAAACATTACAAAACAATTATAAACATTTACAACAAATGTAGAAAATACATATTGGAAACAGAGGGGTCCACTAAAAGGCAATGCTTGTACAAGTGTGAACACCTCAAATCATACTTAAGAATAATGAGTAATTAATTAGGAGTCTCGATCCTCACAAGTTGCTTTCCTCTCCATTTAGAACGTATTAAAACTTCTTTTTGCAGATGTAATATTTGAAGCTGATACATTTATCATAGTACTGTCATGGAACCTAGAACAATCTGAGTATTTTTGTTTGTAGTATTGGTCCCCTTTAATGCTTGAAGGCTAGAAAGACTGGCTGCTATTTGATTGATGAAGACAAGAATAATTGCTCCAATGCTATAGAGAGGCAAAAGAACAGGGTGTGAAGAGGAATGCGGAGAGTAATTGGATAATCTCTGTCTATCTGACATTAAATGGCTTAGGTATAAACAGGGGATATATAGGCTATGGAAGGGGATGACATATCCCCTCCCCCTCCTTAATCTGTGCAATGAGAATAAGATGGAGGATGAAACAGGGGAGAGGGGAAAACAAGATCATATGACTCCCCCTTCACTCTGTGTCCTTTTCTCTCCATTTCATCAACCCAATATTTCTATTATTATTACCCCCCCCCCCATGACCCCAGTGTGGCAGTGCCCCTCATTGGCTGGGCCCCTCATTGGCTGGGCCCCTCATTGGCTGGGCCCATGATATGCCTCTGCTAAAATTCATGTTTTAAAGGTAGAAGCATACGCCTACATTATTGGTTGGCAATGGCTTAACTTCTGCCTTGAAATTATATTTATGCAGTGTATTACTGCATTCTGAAATATGAATATTTCAAGATGCACTAGTTCACAAGACAAATATTTACCAAATTCATGACCATTAACAACATTGGTTTACTATCTTAGGTACATTTAAATATTAGGTCTCATATTCTAGATTTGCAAATTTCAACCAGTCTTGAATGTAGGAAAGCAATAAGAAACTTGCAAGAATATGAAGTTGGTAGCATGTTCAAAGATGTTTACAAGCTCTAAACATACAAAAAGTAAAACAAGTACCAGATGTCAGCTACATCTCTACATACAATTATTCAGCTGACCCAGCTATATTGTCAGCATATTAGTTAGTGTGTCATCAAGGCTCTAATGATTAAGCCTTTAATTCCCAACGGCATATGACAGCAGACCACTAGCCAGGTTCTATATAATGGTACATGACACTCCCAATGATGTGCGAAGCCAATGCTGAATAGCTTCAAATCTAACTGCTTGGCCACATGGAGTACTGTGCCAACGGCTGATGACGGACGTTGAAAGTTAGAGGAAAATCTGTGATTCTCACTCTGATATGTGATACGATAATGTACCGAACACATGTATGCGAGGATGCTGCTGATGCCAAATTTGTCTGTTTACTTAGCCGGGAGAGGCTTCGCACATTATATTTGTGCGATTTGTGGATTTATGCATTGAATTATTGATATGATAATGAGAGTGATGAGAAAGTAAGATCAAACGACAAGGACACACTCTATTTTACAATATGCTGTGGAGAATATTATGTAAAAAGAAGAGAAAGTAAAATACAAAAGGGTTAAAATAATAGGACAGAGAGGGGGACATATAAACAGACAAAAAGACAAATTTATGGAAATGTGTTTATCAAATCGGATAGAGGGATTTCAAATCATTGTACTCCTCCTTCATTTTCTAGATTCAGTGTCTAATTTTTGCAATTATCTTTTTAGATCCATATAACTTTATGTTTTTAAGGAAATGTTCTTTAGAATTGAAATGGGATTGAAATAAAAGTTGAAAATGAAGAAAAATATAGAAAATGGTTGAGATAGCTGGCAAACTAGAGGCAGAGAAGAAAAGAAGATACAATGACAGACAATTATCTATATCAAATTTATATGGAAATTCAAGAGGTTTACACTCTCTGTTTTCAAGTTAGGAGGCTTAATGTGTTAAATAGATTGTGCAGTGTGCTATAAATGGATATTTGTGGTATGTTATTAAATCAAATATTCCTTTAAAATGGATTGAATTGAAATAAGATAAAATAGCTGAGATGATCGAAACACTTATAGAGATCAGGAAATCTGTCAAAAGTCAGCAGCTCCCTTACTGAGTATGCATCCGCTTGTTTTGCTCCAACAGGGCATTATTTTTCAGGAAGAAAAAGACCACAATGCAACAGTCAAACAATTCCACTGCTTTGTGGGAGGTATACAGGGAAATTTACCAAGAAGGGGAAAAGTTTTTTGTAATACATTTGTCAACTTGCTTCTGATTGTTAATGGAGAAGGTCGTTGAAAGTATTCTGTCATAAAACCTTTAAAACATTTCAGCACAACAATATCAATAACAACAACAAAAGCTTGAATAGAAAAAACAATGGGCAAGGAAATCCACCTTCTACCAGATTTCTTACCTCTATCAAGGGAGGGAGGGTCACACCCACACCCCTTGCCAACCCCCGCCCGTCACAAACAGTGGTAATAGCTGTTGGTATGGGCATGCTGTGAAAAAAGATGGAAAAGAAATTCTATTAGAACAGCAACACAGTTATTGCAGCAGGGAGGCATGGCGGAAGGGAGACCCTTTCTTTTGATTGAGGAGGGCTTGGGGGTCTCTTCAAGCTACTCTAAATGCTTGTTAGCAGGTTAAGGGGGTGATTTTAAAGGGAACCAGTCACACAAACACGCACACACACACTCAAAATCACTCAGATTTAAGTTTTTTGTTTGTTAGATTCTGATTTACTACATCAAAAATATCAGCTTGAAATACATGTATTTCTTCTGTTTTAAAAAAGAGAAATTCCACGTTGAAATACACATTCATATACTCTCTAAATTCATGTTAAGTGCTTGTGAGTTTACTACTGGATGCACCCACATTGGCATTCTTCCTCGTGAAATCCATCTCAGGTTCAGTGGATAGGGTTTTTATATCCTTTATTTCCTTCATACTCCTTATCGATCCAAAGCATAATGCCAGGTTACTTTTGTTCACTTTTTGATAATAATAATAGAGAATATTTATACAACATAATCATTAATAACAAAGTAGTTAGGCAAATAACAAAAAAAAAATTTGGGGGAAAGTAAACCAATTCACCTATAATTACACCAAATTAAAACTATTTGACATGACACATTACAAACTCAACAGACACCCTTATTTCAACCAACCTCCTAACCAACTTTTTGGTTAATCGTATACACTGTACGCAAATTATTTTTAAGTGATTTGTCTCCTTTAAAGATGAAGTTGAGTTCTAGTCATGCGATTGCATTGTGAAAGAAACGGTGTGGAATCGACCAGAAAAGGTTGATCATCTATAGCATATAAGTATTGGTGTGTATTGCAAGGTTCTGGAATCATCAAAATGATAAGAAATTTGGCCAAGTCTTGGTACAGATACAAACACTGTACACAGAAAGATGTATATGGGACTACATGAACATGTGACATAAAAAACCTACCCCCCCCCCCCCCCCCCCGAGTTTTACGATGTTACATGACATATTTTAAATATAAAGGCATTTGAAGAGCCATGCTTTTCAGGGAACATGTCTTATCTGATGTTCTTCCACACTTGCGTAATAAGAATGATAACGCTCACAAATTATTTTTCACCTCTTCCCAGAACTCAACCTTCTCTTTAAATATACTGTTGCAGTTTCATGAAGGGGTTACAGGGAGCATCGAGGGTGTGGTGTAGGGAAATGTGAATCTGTAGCAAGGTGAAGCAAGTTTCGTTCAGGTTGTTTCTAGCAGGAAATGCACAATGCCGGTGGAGAGATTAAAGTGGATTAAAGATGGTTGACTATGTTCTTCTGAAAGTACAGACCCTTATTATGGTGTGTTTAAGATTACCGGTTAAAATGTAAGGGAGCCTATATTTACAAGGCATTTTTATCTCCATAAGTTATAATGCATTTTATCTCCACTCTTTGTTGTTTTTTTGTTTGTTTTTACAACGGCTAAGTTAAATGTCTTTTGCAATTTGTATGATTTCGACAAAAGTAACCATTGCAGGCATATTAAGGTAGAATAATGGAATATTCTTTGCAAATCTTTAGTTACATATGAAATGTTTTGTTTGAAGCAAAGTTTCATATTGAGTGTACTCAAATCTAAACCATAAAGTTATTGTTGAGCATATACATATTGCAAATTCACAGTTGCACTCTCCATGTAATTCAGAACAGAGACAATATACATATGAAACGTTTTGTTTTGAAGCAAAGTTTCATATTGAGTTTACTACAAATCTATATTGTAAAGTTGTTGTTGAGCATACGTATTGCAAATTCACGGTTTTCACTCTCTATGTAATTCAAAACAGAGACAATATACATATGAAACGTTTTGTTTGTAGCAAAGTTTCATGTTGAGGTTACTCCCAATCTATACCATACCATAAAGTTATTGTTGAGCATACGTATTGCAAAATGCAAATTCACAGTTTCCACTCTCCATGTAATTCAGAACGGAGACAATATTTGTCAATTTGTGAGGTCATGGTGTCTTAAATGAATCAAGCTGTGAGATGAACACAAATTCTGATACCTCACCTGGCTGTGCCAGGAAACGAGAAACCCTTGTGTCCTGCAATCTTTCCTCACCTTATGCAAACAATCCCTCACTGAATAGCAGGACAAGCCAAAAAATACCTGTTTGAACACATCAAAAGGAGAACGTCTTTTTCCTGCATAGCTGGCCCTCAACACCCATGTCCTGCCCAGGTTATCATACCTCTTTGTCTGCAAGGGATATTGGAAACAGCTTCACGAGTTTTGTTTCTAGAAGAGTTGCTCTTATCGTATGTTATAGGGCGCGTTCATGCTTGATTTTGACGGCCAGAATCAGGCATCTGTTACGCGTTTAGTTTAAAACACGGTTGCGTCTTAGCTCACTTTTGTAGAATCACCGAAAAACGGCGATCATGATCGCCGATCGTAAACTCACAAAAAGATGCGTTTACAATTTGTAAACGCGTTTAAATGGGGTCAACGCACTGACCTCTAGTGGGTCTACGTAGCATGCACAGTGAAGGTTTGCGAATCCAGCTGGAAGACCAATTAAGGCCACACACTGAGAATTGCCTGGGGGAGCCAGAGAAGTAAGCATGAACACTACATCGTGGAACTGCGATCACGATGAGCGTTTACGATGAGCGTTTCAGATCGCTCATTCTGTCTTCAAAATTTAAGCATGAACGCAGCCATAGTGATACGAAGCACTTGTCTATGAGCTGCTAGTTTCGATTAGGAGTGATCCGTCTTTGGTTTTTACCTTGTTTGAGCACAGCAAAGAGACTTTTTACATGGTTTTGTAAGCAATTGAGTTACAGAGTTTTGGTGCAACATTCGTGTACTAGGAATCGACTAGTGAGGTCATATAATATAGCCAGAAAGGGACTCCCCCTTAAATTGTATGAGGTGTTTATCAAATGAAGCATATATAGAATCGATACAAAAACTTACTTAGAGCTGCCCTTACTGATAGGGTTACGTGAATATTGCTATTGTCCAAACTTGGTTCTCTTTTTCTTTTCTGCCTCACTGATTTACAAAAAAAGTCTGATGTTTGTTGCTGTTTTAAATATGAATATACTGAAATGAAATCAACTGTCAAATTGTAATTCTTATGTAATCATCAAGCTTTTTCTGCTCTACTTCTATCTCTGTTTCTCTTTTACCTGTCTACTTCAGCAAACTTTTTCTTTTTCATTCTCTACTTGCGCTCCCCCCTTTCTTTTGTATACTAGCATTCATCTATCTATACTTCTATTCTTCTTTATTATATCATTTTCTTTCTTATCTACCATGGATTATTCCTTACTGTCTTTTGTTTGCCTTTATTCTATGTCTCTCCTAATTGACAAATATAATCCATGTCTCCTTGCTGGACTCAGAATCTTCTAATTGAACTTTTCCATAATTCATCATTATTGTGATATGAATTTAGTTGTACATATGCTAATGTTTCTCTAATTTTTCTCATCTTCAATCCAGAACCCTGTATGGCAACCACATGTCTGATCTACCAGAAGCCATCTTCAGAGATCTTACAGCTCTCCAGCTCCTGCTCCTCAACGCCAACAGGCTGACCTGTATCCGCATCAACCTCTTCAGGGATCTCGTCAAACTTCATCTTCTGTAAGTATGATGATGGTGGTGGTGATGATGATGGTGATGGTGATGGTGATGGTGATGGTGATGGTGATGGTGATGGTGATGGTGATGGTGATGGTGATGGTGATGGTGATGGTGATGGTGATGGTGATGGTGATGGTGATGGTGATGGTGATGGTGATGGTGATGGTGATGGTGATGGTGATGGTGATGGTGATGGTGATGGTGATGGTGATGGTGATGGTGATGGTGATGGTGATGGTGATGATGATTGTGATGGTGATGATGATGGTGATGGTAGTGATGATGATGGTGATGGTGATGGTGGTGATGATGGTGATGATGATGATGATGGTGATGGTGATGATGGTGATGATGATGATGATGATGGTGGTGGTGATGATGATGATGATGATGATGATGATGATGATAATGATGGTGATTAGGATGATGGTGATGGTGTTGATGATGATGATGCTATTGACGATGGTGATGACGATGATCATGGTCATTACGATCATTAGGAGGAGTATGATTATGATGGTAATGGTAGTGATAGTGATGATAATGAGGAGGAGGAGGGAAGAAGGAGGAGGGGGAGAAGAAGGAGGACGACGGCAATGACAATGAAGAAAATGATGATGAAGTGGAGTAGGAGGAGGAGGAAGAGGATGTTCATGCAGAACATGATGGTGATGATATGATGATTGTATTCTGAGATTTTTTCTTCTTCTTTTTTCTTCTCCTAGATCTCTTTATGACAACAACATTCGATCTTTGTCAAATGGAACATTTGATTCACTCAGATCTCTTCAAACATTGTAAGTACTCTATCAAAATTATTTCATTCACTATAATTATGTTTTTTGCTTAGTTGTGATTGCGCATTGTATGTAATGTGTATGAAGCATTGGCCACATACAACCGTATATTTGTTGGCTCTTCTCTTTTGAGATGAATAACATTACAGATTAAAATCATTTTAGTTATCAATGAAAAATGACTTATAACAGAATCCATTACAATTATCATTGAAGTCTACATTTATACCTTTGTATTTCGAGCATTTTCCTACTTATATGTTGCATAACATAAACATATCCATATCTGCAATAAAAATTGTCAATATTCTACTCTTTTGTGTATAAAGTGCACAGAAACTTCTTGAATATAATGCCCTATAAAGGAATCTACAAAATTGTTGAAATTATTATTATTATTATTTAGTTTCCTTAATACTTAAAAGAGGTTTCTTGCCTTGTCTCTTAAAATACTTACAAAATCATACAGTGAACAAAATCATCCAATCGCAGAAAAACAAAACATAAAGCTGTTAAAGAAAATAAAAGAATAAAGAAATAGAATACATTTTTGCTCTTAAAGCTAGAATAGAGAGCTGTTTGCACCCGTATGTCAACCTAGTCAGTGTTAACCTGCTGTATGATTGATTGTAAAGGCATGTGAAATGTAGCACCTTTAGTAATCAAAGCTTGCACAATAGATGTTACATGATGGGGGTCGATCCGTCCCACTAACGGAGGAAACCACAAAAGAAGAAGTACATGCCCAGGACATGGGGGAGGTGGAAATATGATTACCTAGAAATTCCCATCCAATTTAGGCAGTAACCTACCAAGATGGGGACAGGAGGGGAAATTATTCTTGTTTGATGTATCATCTGGTTTCCCTTTATATTTCCTCTTTTTGAAGAGGCAGATCGTTCGAAATAAATGTAGGATAGGCAGAGTAAATGAAAGAAAACAAAAGAAAAAAGAAAACAAAACTTGCAACAGGTACATGAATTTTTTCATTTTCAGCTTTATATATTCAGTAGAATTGGAGCATAAGGACTAGTTTCAAAACAGGACGTTTAAATAACCCTTTTAGCATTTCACTTCACAAGTTTTTGACAAGTTTTGAATGTAGTTGTGAAGTTGCAACATACTTTAAGATTTTTTTTCTAAACAAATGAAAAGGAAAAAAATATATCCACTTTAACAAGTCTAAAAACAAAATCCCCATTCTTTTGAACTTCTACCAGCTAAACATCAAAAGAAGAGCACTATTTTCTTGTATAAACAAAGAGTAAACTTTTATTTGAAATCTAATCTAGACCATAGTTGCTGAGATGTAATCTTAGTTCTTTGGTGCCACCAAGAACATGTGAATTATTGATTGATTTCAGTGGAAGACATCCGTGTGGTGAGCCCACATGGTATCAAAATACCGCAAAATGGGAAGATCTTCAGGGATGGTATTTAGGAAGCAAAACAATTCTCTGAACACGGATATAACCACAGGTGTTAGGAAAATCGGTGAATGCAGATCGTTTTCAGTGGAATTTCAGTGGTGTTTCATTTCGGTTGTGTTACATTTCAGTACATTACATGAACAAGTAAATTTCTGGTTTTTTGAATAATTCAGAGTTTGGTGGTGAAGTAGCAGGGTGTGAAACTTACAAACCGTAGATGTACATGTAAAGCATTTTACAAGTGTTTTGTTACCCATTTATCTCCTTGATTTTCAAAAGATCTTTACTCTGAAAACTTTTAAAGGCATTACAATTTGATATTTCATCTCAAGAATATTAATGTTTTGTGTGTATCTTTAACACATACATTCTGTCCTGATTCAAGATATGTATTTGTATCATACTGCAATTTTCTCATCCATTCACAGAAGACATTTTATGCCTTCTTATCTTAGTAACAGTTGAATAACTTTGTCTAGAGTTAGGTATCAAATAGTTAAGATGCCTGAAGTTTATACAAAAAAAAATGTATGCCCATGAGGAAGGATTGAAATAAATAGGTAATTAAATAGATGGTATTGAGGAATACCTTCTTCATTATTTAATTTTTAAGATAGCCTTTAGTCTGACATACATCGTGATAGGCTCTTTGGCACCTTAAGAATCCTGACCCCCTGTTTCAGGTCAATCTTTGTAATTGTGCCTGATGTGTTAGGCAGCCGCTATTCAATCCATCGATCAACAAGTCTGCACGTGTAAAATCTGGGTCATATTTCACGCCAGAGCTCGCCCGCTATGCGAGCTAAATCTCTGCCGCATTTGCAACAACAACTCGCTAAGATAAATTCATAAATATTCAGAGTTTCACAGCTCAATCACAGACGCGGGCGCTTTTGGCAAGTAATTTTCTCCTCCTTGCCGGCTTGGCTTTAGAAGGTGAGGCCAGCCGGCCGAGCATTCTTGAGCCGTCAGAAATGGGGCGAGGTATTGTAAAAGAAAACATTGGAAAAGTACTGGGATTAAACCCAACTCAGCTGTGTTTAGGACAGCATGGAAAGTTCATTGAATGAAAAATGAGTTTTTAATGGACTCCAATCCAGGCTTTGCAAAACTTTTACTTTGCGCTATATTACCGGTCATCCATCATTCGGTGCATTGTTCCTCTACTTAGCACATTCAAAGTTTGTCTATAATCCACGCCGTATCATAAGAATCTGACAAATGATGATACTTTCTGATGAAATGTACTCTCTTTTCTAATAAGAAGAAAACTCTGTCCAAGCTCCTTATGTGTCTCCTAATGGAAGTTATATCCCTTCATGCCACAAATCTCCTCTTTATCTTTGCCTGTGGAGTACTGACATTTAAAAATTGTTATTTGATGTAAATCTTGGTATTTGATGTAAATATGGCAGTCCCATCATTAGTCTGTGTATTTACGTTATCTCTTCTCTCTAACATATCCTTAGGCTCTGGGTAGAATTACCTAGTTTTATCTGTTTCTTATATTTCTTTCTTTTTTCTCTTTGAGATTGTGTGTATTTATACTTGTCTTGAAGTGTCAGCACTATGTTTTTTTCTTTGAAAATATGTGTCTTTATGGTGACAAAAGCAAAACTCCTTTTCTAATATTTTTCTATAAATCATGGATGCTTGTTAGAGGTATACCCTTGTCCTTATAACGAGACTGACACCGGATTAACAAAGGACTGAACAAACATGCATCACACCGAATGGCTATGACTCAACTGCGTCTTTACAAAGACAAGTTGAAGAAATTTCTGAGAAAAAACTATTATATTCGCAATATTTCCATAAATCACCCTGTTTCATGATCAGTTTTCTTTTTTGAAAGTTTTGTTTAGCAATTCTTCCTCTTAATTTTGTCCTCCTGGAAGTTGTCAATTGAAGAAAGGTGCGACAGACAGGATAGTAGTCTAGACACCTTACTCCGTCACACATCTTCCAACAGGAAAATTAAAAAACATTGAACACCTGTAAAACTTTGGATGTAAATGTTGAGAGGGAGTTTAGACATTGGGTAGGATTTTGAACCCACTTAGGGAAGACTAACTCATTACTATAATGAGAAATATTCATTTTTTTGTTGATGTAAAATGTTGATATTTGACGTGTTAGGACTTCAAAGCTTATATATCAATTAATTTAATTAATTTTGATATTGAGTAGGTATAAGCAGATGAACTCATTGAAAGCCTTTTAGAGATTTATGTATAACCTCTTTTTCTGATGCAGAGGAAGGGAGACACCAATTGTGGAAATTAAAGTACTATAATGCCACTCTTACAAATGTCAAGGAATTCCAGTACATTCCAGCTTAGTTAATTAATAGATAATTAGTAGCTCTGTCACCTTGTAGACTATTCATTTCAACATTGAGTACATGTAGGTAGAAATTAATTAGACACTAATTTAATAATTAGAGTTGAGATTGTTATGTTATAGAATTTGTTAAGCAATGATGACTTCCAGCATATATTGAGTCAGCAAGGTTGTAACAAAATACAAAATATCAAATCATATTTTTTAGTCTGAATCAGTGGAACAAACACCCTCTAAGTTTGGATTGAAATACCTCAAAATCTTGTAACTTAGTTGTAAGTATCAATAAATCCATAAATTCCAGCATATTTTGGGGGCAGGCAAGATATGAAAAGCTAGATAACTGTTTAGCTCTTGTCACCGAGGGGGTATTCTCGTGTGAGGTAGACAGATAGAGGCAAGGGGCATACTTCACGGGTCACTGCCGTAATCAGGACCCCTCGATGAGAACCTGGTCTGCCCTCTGATGACCCATATTCAACCCCTCTCCTCTGGTCCAAACTTACGTTCTCTTTTCCTTTTTATCTCTGTATCCTTAAGATTTGACATTTCTCTCTAGTACCCTGTAACTTTCACACTTTCTCTTTCGCTTTACTAATTTGCCCTCTCTTCTGAACTCTCCAATACTTCCTTTCTTTTTGTTTTCCTGTTACTCTGTCTGTTTTCTTGTAATTGGTAGTTTTTGCTTTCCCATTTTAATAATTTCTCGCTTATACAATGTATATATTTGAAAGTATGTTACCCATCTATCACCTTCTCCTTTGTGTGTGTTCCGTAGGCTTTGCTTTTACGTGTAACCTTTTCTCTGCCTATCTTGTATCTACATCCGTCCCCTCATTCTCTGTCTCCTTGTTTTATTGGATCTCTCTCTTTCTCTCTCTCTTTTTTTTCTCTCTCTTTCTTTATCTCTCTTTATTTATCTCTCTTTCCTTATCTCTCTCTCTCTTTCTTTATCTCTCTTTCTTTATCTCTCTCTCTTTCTTTATCTCTCTTTCTTTATCTCTCTTTATCTCTCTTTCTTTATCTCTCTTTCTTTATCTCTCTTTCTTTATCTCTCTCTTTCTTTATCTCTCTTTCTTTATCTCTCTCTTTCTTTATCTCTCTCTCTTTCTTTATCTCTCTTTCTTTATCTCTCTTTCTTTATCTCTCTCTTTCTTTATCTCTCTCTCTTTCTTTATCTCTCTTTCTTTATCTCTCTTTCTTTATCTCTCTTTCTTTATCTCTCTCTTTCTTTATCTCTCTCTCTTTCTTTATCTCTCTTTCTTTATCTCTCTCTTTCTTTATCTCTCTTTCTTTATCTCTCTCTTTCTTTATCTCTCTTTCTTTCTTTATCTCTCTTTACCTCTTTCTTTATCTATCTCTTTATTTCTTCCTCCCCACTCTCTATCTCTTATCCCCTGCCCCCTCTCTCCCTCCCCTCCCCCTTTCTCTCTTCCTCTCTCTCTCTCTATCTCTCTCTCTCTCTCTCTCCCTCCCTCTCTCCCTCCCTCCCTCCCTCCCTCCCTCCCTCCCCCTCCCTCCCTCTCTCCCTCCCTCTCCCCTGCCCTACCCTTCTTCTTTTCTCTCCCTTCCTTCCTCTCCATGTTGGTTTCCCATTCTATACCTTCCCATTCTCTCTCTCTCCTTACCTTTCTCCCTCCTCCCCTCTCTCCTTCCCCTTCTCTCTCTTTACCTGTCTCTCTGCGGCACATCACACCAAGCTGTGAAGAATGCCTTAGGCTTCAAACCATAGCAATGCATGTACTTTCTCACATTTTTGCAAGCTCCAAAGCCTCTTGACCGAGGGAAAAAGTCACCTAGATTCATTGCTTTGTGTGAGGGCTACCAATCATGGAGTTTGCAGGCATAAACCCTCGTTAATTTTTAACACACTACATGGAGTCTGAATGTATGACTTTAGACTGAACTTTAAAAGAAAAAACTTACTTCTACCCTTTGCAAAGATACAATTAAGGATGTTTTTCTTGGGTTGTTGTAATGGGAACTCTTTAAGTATCAAATTTCAAGCCACTTTGGGAAGAGTTATTCAAAACACAGTTAAATAATAGATTGTTTATCTATGGTGTGTCCACATCTTCAGTAGATCATGCATGTTGTTTATGTTTTCCTTTATTAAAGTTGGAGATTAAATAAAACAAGTCAACATACTGTGCTTAATTCTTTATTTTGTGGGGAGGAGGCCGGTGGGTGGGGGGAGGGGGGGGGGGAGATTGTTTTTGTTGTTGTTAGTGTGTGTCTACATCATGGTACATGTAAATTTATATGAATTCAAGGGTTACATTATTTGCCTTGCTTTGTATAAAATGATGGATTCACAGTCAAATTTTGTCCGAGCTTATTATCATTCAATTCTAAAAATGAAATATATTGTGGCAAACTATATTAGTTGATCGACATATACGTGTCTCTGTGTATGTATAGATTCATGTACATCATCAGTTTGAATTTCCAACATGTTCAATATAACGTGTGTGAAGAGACACGAAGAAGAGACATTCATCTGATTTGCAGTGTCCAGCTGAAATGCTCAATCTTGAAAAGTGCACAACAATGCATTGGTATCTGATTCTTTCCTTTGTAGACATACATATGAAGGTTTAAGGAATGTGTTTCTCTTCTTTAAAAAAAAATCTTTCTTACATTTTATGACCTCAATGACATAATAAGAGGCAAAATGGGAACAAAAGGAGGTATTTTTTTTCTACATAACCGCTATCCTTCAAGAGTTGTTTATATCCCAATTTCACACTTCTACATCCTTTTTCTAACAACATGCACAAAGGAGCATATTTTCTCTCATTAAGATCACTTGTTGAAGAAGCTATGGGGTGTGAAATTTTTCGCTGAAAAGGGGTGAAAAACACCTTGTCTGTGGTTTCATATGGCTTTAAGCCAGTTGTTGAATCAGATTAGACCAATTTGTCAACTCAGGTGGAATTAATTGGTTTGGGTTAATGTGTTGGTTCAGTCAATGGGCAAGGAATGGGAGCAGGAAAGGGAACGAGATGATAGAGACCCGGTGCGTGGGTGAAAATATAACATTTCAAAGATGTTGGGTGTTTTAGTTGACTTCAGTAATCTCAAGATTGTACAATTCTTTATTTGCCCATTATGCAACTCGTGAATAGGCTTTGCAATTTTTTTTGTTCATAACATATCTCATTGTGATTGTAGTTGTGTCAGTGATACTTTCTTGAAATGCTAAGTATGTTATATCATTTAAAGAGGTTGGAATACTAGTTCTGCGTTCATTAAGAAAATTTTTAAATTTATAAAATTCAATCATTATGAACCCTATAATACAGAAAGTAGTTTTCAAATATATTTCCTCTTTTGATTGTTTATCTTGATAGACTGTCTTTAATGATATCTGACAATTTTTTTTTTATCTGACAACTTTATTTTAAGAAGAAAGACAAACTATGCTTTGTCTAAATATGTGACATGCAACTAACTACATCAAAAAATGTGAGAGTTTCAAACCAGATTCAGCAGTAAATGGGTTAAGGTGTTCCTTCTACATAGGCATGTCAAGTGTAGTTTCTATGATGCGAATATATATTTTGTTAATGCTAAATATATTACTCATTGCGGATGTAGTATCGAAAATAGTACCACTAGTGATATTCGTTTGTCTCGCAATGTACTGTATGGTATGGTATAAAACACTTTTGCTCACAATATATTTTATCACCTGACGAAGTATTGCAGCGGCGCACAAAACGTCATGATCTTTTAGATCCCTTGTTGACCATACATTGCGAGACAAACAAATATCACTAGCGATATTATTTTCAATATATTTTGTTATTTGCATATCCATTTGTTAAATAATGTCACACTAGATGTACAGTTATTGCTTGAGAGTATTTTAAGTACAAGATGATAAAATCTTATTGTACCAAACCTATTTGAAAACATACTTGAATAAAACCATAATCTTCCATTTCAATTTGTCAGACATTTGGCCCGCAACCCCTTCATCTGCGACTGTAACTTGAGATGGATCGCAGAGTACCTTGAAAGCAATCCGGTCGTTGAGACAAGCGGTGCACGTTGTGCCCGACCCGTCAGAATGGAACGCAAGCGGATCACTAACATGAAGAGCGTCAAGTTCAAGTGTAAAGGTATGTGATGCAGAAGTATTTCTTTCTGGAACCGTTTCTTTTTCTTCTTCGTCTTCTTCTCCTCCTCCTGCTCCTCCTCCTTCTTCTTTTTTCCCCTTCTTCTTCTTCTTCTTCTTCTTCTTCTTCTTCTTCTTCTTCTTCTTCTTCTTCTTCTCCTCCTCTTCCTTCTTTTTCTTCTTGTATTATTATCAGTAGTTGTAGAAGTAGTAGTAGTAGTAGTAGTAGTAGAAGTAGTCGTAGTAGTAGTAGTAGTAGTAGAAGTAGTAGTAGTAGTAGTAGAAGTACATGTAGTAGTAGTAGTAGTAGTAGTAGTAGTAGTAGTAGTAGTAGTAGTAATATTTTAGGACCATTGTTATTGTTGTTACTGTTGTTGCTGCTTCACTCCATTGATAAGTTTGGCACAAAATTAACATGTAAATGTATGTTTCATAGACATATATTGTAAGATAGACATTTACTGGAAATGTTACTGTTTTGGAAAAAGATATAAACCTTCAAGAAACAACAAAAATCAAGTTTTACAGGACATTGTTGTCTATATGACTTATGAAACATTTTGCATTTCCTTGATTTCTGCTAATGTAAGCCTTCTAATTTGAATGTCGTCTAAAAGTAATTTCCTCTTTACATTTAAGCCATTAAAAGTTGATGAATATGCTTTTGTAATAAGGAGCTAGTGAAAGCAATCTCCATTTCTTGTATGTAACTGATGCAGGTATTACTATCAGAATGTTCTTTCCACCAATGTAGATAGCCTACTCTAAGCTATTCTCAAAGTCTATCTTCCGTTCCATATGCCCTGGTTGGGCTATTTCTTTGACAATCATAGCCAAAAAATTCGAAGATTGGAGATGTAGAGAGGAAATGATTTGCATTTAGAGGGATAGGAAGACCATTTCCTCCATAATGCGTCTCCATCTTACTTCCCTGCCTGGTGCGTTTCACATTTAAAGAAGATATTCTAAATGGGTGCTTTCTCCATAAGCAGGCAATACTCTATCTATATTCATAGGGGTTTATGTTGGGAAGGGGGCTTACGGCCTAATACCGCTAATGCACATCTAGGGTCCCTATTTGTAGAGAAGAGATTTCAGCAGAAGTCAATGGACACGGTTAGACATTTTTTCTGAATGATGAATTTTCTGGTGAAACGAGCGGGAGATCGAGTAGGTCTCAATATTACTCTCCGGAATAATTTATATCTCTAGGGAAAAAACTTTCAATGGGGCCATTTGTATAAATGATGGGTAGTCTTTGCCACAAGCTCTAAGGATATTGGTGCAAATCGTTATTTAAATGATTTATTTCCTAAATGTGGTGTGTTAATAATGTTCAGGTTATTGAACCCAGTAAAAATATGGAGAAACATGCTCAGGACTTTGGAATATCTCTGTTGTAATTGATGATGTCAAACAAATTGTTTAGAATACATAGATATCCAGTGTTGTAGTAATGATAGAAATATTTATATATTTCAATTCTTGCGCGATACCTGTATTTCTACAACTGATATATATTTTCGAGAAAATGTTTCAAAAAATAGATAAAATAGTAGATATAATTGAGGAAAAAAATTCTCATTAAAAGGCAAATACTTTAAAGAAAATTGTTTTTAATTTCTGTAACTTGCAAAGAATGAATACGTTTTATGACCTTTCTGTTGGAAGAAATACATTTAGCTTCCAAAGTGCTCCTAGATTTGGGAGAAGATAAACAATATCTGTTTTTGCTTTTGTTTTAATGTTTTAATCTATTTCAGTGACATAATTTTTTTTGTAGGACTATACTAGAATTTTGTTTTCCATAGGACTAAAATTAATTTGCATGCATGTTGTTTAAATTTTTGATTCCTATTTGATCATCAGATGCCGAGTATTACAGGACTGCCCAAGCCGGCCAGTGTTTTATTGATCATGACTGCCCCGATGCTTGTACATGTCATGAAAGTATTGTAGACTGTTCTAACAGAGGGTTACCAACTGTTCCAGATGAAATTCCCACATATACAACAGAATTGTGAGTATTATTCTACCAATATTACAGAAATTATCATGAACAAATATTGAATATTAATTTCCCAAGAACAAGGAGTGAATACACTTTTCGTACACCAAACCATATTTATATTTTGATAGAAACAATAAAGGATTAATTTAAAAAAATTATCGGCACAGAAGTCAAAGATTGACTTCAAAGACTCAGGAGAGTGGGCATCAAATTGAGATTTCTTTACTGAAAAAAAATTTTCTCTCAAAATTTCATGAAGTTCATACTATCTTTTTAATTTCATGTCAGGCATTAATGAAAATTTACAATTTTTTTTTCTTCTGTACAGTGTACAACTTTGCAATTACAGTTTGATAAGGTTTTAGCCTCTTTTTAACGCAGTTTAATTGACATTCAAAAAGTGCGGCTTACATGTATCTGCAAGTATTCACACATTTTGTTATAGTCGATGAAACTTTTGTAAGTTTCAAAGGATGGCGAGATTTTTTCTGAAAGCTTCACAACTCAAAAAAGAACTTGGCTGCGGCCATGGATCATTGCAGAGCATGGAAATTTCTTGCCGCAAGCTGTCATTAACAATTCATAAAAGTTCCTGGTTTATCAGTATGACATTTTCATCTTCTTCTCCCTAGGAAATTGAATGGAAATGAGATTTCACGCATTTCTGCGGACGGGAAGTTCCTTCATCTGCCCAATCTCAAAATCTTGTAAGTATGATTATCAGAAAGAAGAATATTCATCTATGTTTCTTGCAGTCCTTCCAGTGCTTTTATTGACTTTCATACACTCTGAAACAGTGCATATGTTTTCATATTTTCATTTTGTAGTTTCTGAAGGACTCAATTGCAATTATACCTTCATTATCCTTCAGTTCCCTATATTTTCAATATTGTATACTTTTGTTTTGTATCTACAGCACATGTATTATTCTACTGAATACGAAGTTTGAATGGTATTATACAGAGTATATATTACAATTAAAATTGTATCTGTTAGTTGATACGATAAACGTTGGGGCTGGTGGAGAGTAATTAACCCTCTCCAAAGCTTAAAAACTAATTCTGGAAAAAAGGATAATTAAAAAAAAAAAAATATATATATGGCATATGGAAAAATCTCACTCTTCAATAGCAAATTCCTAATGAACTTTTGAGAAGAGCAAGTATTATGTGTACACTATCTGAACAACCAGCCATAATGTACACGTATTATTAGATATCTGTTTGTATTTACTGTGACGTGCTATCAACGGGAAGAAATCTGAGCTATCGTTTGCTTTCACCGATTTGTTACTCGCTCTCTGAGCAGGTGAAATACGAGCTGAACCTAGTAAAATATTCATAAGCCATCAAGTAATCATTATCTCTTGAATATATCATCCTCATATATTTCTCATCATCCCTCTCATCCATCTCCCCATCCATCCATCTATCCAGGGATCTCCGTGACAACCGCATCTCGGTCATCGAGGATGAGGCCTTCCAAGGAGCGTCTTCTCTCGTAGAATTGTAAGAATTTTTTCCTTTTTATTCTCTCACCTTTAACCCCTTCCTTTTTGTTTTAATCAGATTCTTGGTGTATCTAGAGTGTGCATGTGTGTATTCTGTTTCTAGCTTTAATGATAATAATTCAGACAAAAATGTTAATTATTATATACTTTAATAGTTTGGATAAATGATAATTCTTAATTGGGCTATTACAGATGTTGCATGATAATTGCATGATTCATGGGGGGATTCTGAGGGTTGTATTTCTTTTTAAAGACCGTTGTGACTGAATTAATAAACTTGGTTTGTGTAACAAACATGTGCACACGCATAATGTAGAGTTGCCCTTTATTGTTTCTGATCTTTCAAACAGCCAGTCATGTCGCTTACCTTTATTTCTCCCATAAAAGTAAATCCAAATAAAACTACAGATTGATACATCTTTCCTCTTTAGCTAAAACTCCTCTCATTCTTTTTTTAATTTTATCATAGGACATTTTATTTGTTGATTCTTGATTGATGTTGATGCTGTCTTTTTTCCTTCCCCAAAATATTTTCCCCATTGATAACTGAATGCTTTGATTTCTAAAAGCTCAGTGCTTTAGTGCATGCTTTTACATGTATCTTGTATTTTACCAGAGGGTTGTAAACTGAGGCTTTAATCTTTGCACTATACCCAGCTTATGCGCTAATTTCCCACTATCTATTTTTTAAGGGTAATTGCTAATATCATGTATGACAATTAAGCATGCTTATAAGATGGTAAAGAAAGAATTATTAATTGCTTGGTTACATCCATCTAGATATTTTGAAATTGCAACAAAGCAGAATGCAGTAGAATAATCTAAAACAAATAAATTTGGACCATGAAATTGATCAGTCATTGTATGTTGGTTTTAATTATTGAGCTTTGTTGAACAATTTATATTTTGTTAAACAATAGTTACAACTTTATATTTTCCCAAATTTGTTCAAATTATAGCAAACTCTATGTCATCACCTCTGAATTTTACGATTTGAGCAATTATTTTTTCAAGAATATATTAGTAGGCAGGAAAAGATAGCTTTTAGCATAAAGTTTAGATTTGTACTTTTAGCCAAAATACCATACTGTTGTATCAAATGCAAATGATTTCTTCTATATTTAGATTTGGTTTGTAGTGATCTAGAAATGCCCTATTTGCAAGTACTCTATTTCAATCAACCACAATTCCAAGAGTCGCCTTTTTAAAATGAGTAATGACTCGTAATTTAGTTTTCTAAAATTCAATTCTAAAATTTATTGTTTTAGTTGTTGTAATATGCTTCATGTGGACAAATTACATGTATGTTCTCTTTCCTTCTGAACAAAAAATAAAAAAGATTAGTGAAAGCCCCCTTGCTTCTTGTCTGTTAAAAGGCCTCTGTTACATGTGTGCCATAATATTCTTTTCTGTTGTTGACCGTTTGTTTTTTTATTTCTGTCAATTCCCCCTGTATCTCTCGTTCTGTTCTGTGCTCTTTTGGAATATGAAGAATGCTCACGAACAACAAACTGAGTAATGTCACCGGACGCTCTTTCGTAGGACTCAAAAACCTGCGGACGCTGTGAGTATAACGATCGAAAAACCACCAGCCTGTTTCAAGCATCGTGGCATCTTACTTCTTGAATTTTCAGCGCACGAGATTTCATCCATTTGTTTATTTTCTTTTAATTCTTTTTTTTGTTCGTTCATTTGGTTGGAAACTTTCCTTTTAGTTTAACTACCATGGTAACAGGATGCTCATTTCTTAATTATTTGTAATTCAACTATTTAATCTCATTTTTAATAACAGTTTAATCATTGGGGAAAGACGAATCACAATTTGATGAACATCTAAGGACTGTGTCTTTAAAAATATCCGGAAATATTTGTTCATGTTTTTCCATATTTGCATCTTTATTTTATACAAATTTCAATCCTTTGTGGCTATCAAATTGGCAACAGACAACATAAATCAATTTTGTCATTTTACACTAAACCCTAAAAAGGTTGAACAAACTTTCACAAAAACCTTTTTGAATATGATCAAATTGAAATTAGTTGAAATCAATCAAAGTAATTCTAAACCTGAAGACTTGTTAGTCCGAGATGTTATCTTAAAGTGATTCTCTACCAATTCCCAAAGATTAATACCTTCCTAACTCTTCAATATATCACCAATATTTAATCAACCACTAACATTTCCATACCATTTTGTCAGCTATACCCCATAGTGAGAATTGACTGTACGGTTTGCATACTGAAAAAAAAAGTTGTTTGGTTTTCTGAGTGGATTAAGATATAAAATTCAGGCAATCAAGTCATCTTTTTGTATATTTTCATGGAAATTAAAATAAAAATCACCTCATTTAACAACAACAATGATAAATACAACCAAACTGCAAAGATTAAAGTGAAAATCAAATTGGATTTAAATAATTTTGCATAAAACATTCAAGAACCTCAAAAGTGAAAATGAGGATGAATTTGAATGAATGGTCAAATCTGTTAATGCGACCCTCGTGCAAAATGGGATGGGGTTAACAAATGACTTGGGACATGATGGGAGAATAAAGTGAAGTGTTTACCGACAAATAAAGACGTCATTCTTGGTATTCACCGTCATGTATCACAGTATGCTAACACACATGGTTCACTTACTTGGCTGGTCGATGCAGTGCATGGTGTATTAACGATCCCCGTCAGGGTGTGATTGCGCATTTATTTTCACAGCTTTCCAACCAGGTCTAACACTCTTGCATATATACTCACCTAACCTTTTAACCACTTAACCAAGCCATGTTTTATTCTTCCTAGGACTGCTCACTTAATATCACATTTTTGTTGTTCTTTCGTCACTTTAACACCCCTTTTTGTCTCCTTTCACCGGCTAATTCATGATTCATTTCTCTTTCAGGGCGTTAATGCATACCTATACTGTATCAGGCTGTGTAAAGGAGGGAAATATCGTCCCTTTTTCCTTTTTATTTCTCCTCTTTACAACACGCAGCACCACTTCTTTTTTTCTTTGAATGGAATGTTTTAATTTCATTTATGATTACCGTTTCCTTTTATTTTGATATTCCAATATTTGACTGAATTATTATGAATGTTTTGAGATGCAACACTTGCATGATGAAAGTACATTGTTCATCAAATATCAGATTATGGAATGCTCACTGGAGATGCCATTTATAACAGTATTATTTTCCAAATATATGCATCTATATTATACTGGTTTGTCTGTACATGCACCCACAATTTCCCCCCCAAATCTGATGTTTGTACATATTCTAGTTGTTTTTATTATGCTATTGTAAAAAGTTGTTTACAACAGATTTTTACATTTGAATGGATATCAGTAATACAAAGATTAAAAAGCAAAGATACAATTTAAAATATAATGATCATTTAAGCATTCTTTCATATAGGTAAACAGAAAATGCTGAGAACTAAAAGAGTAGCAGAAATAACATATTTCTGAAGTGCTCCTAAAGATCTATGGGGGTTTCAAGTCAATTACGCTGAGGCAATTACAAAAAGCTGATATGCAATTGAAATGAAATTGGTATTGTCTAGAAAAATATTATCTTGAAATCCAAAATAAATTATTATTACATATTTAGTTCCACGATACAGACAATTTTTTTAATGATCTTCTATATACCCTTTGACATACCCTTATCAGTACACCATGTGAGTCTTTCCTTCCCCCTCCCCATTCCACCTGTTCCTTCTCGTCTCATTTGGTACCTTACATCACTCCAAAATCCACCTCCCCAACCCGATCCCGTCCCCGTTTTTTCACGGGACTACATCTAAGTCCCCTCCGTCAACACCACTTCATATGCTTCCGATCTCTCCATGTGTATAAAGTCGGAGAGTAAAAACAGAGCAGGGGAAAGAAAAATCAAACACTTTGCTTTCGTGACAAGGTGGTAGGAGGGGGATTCTCGGCTTGATCTGCACACGCGGGGGCCCAACTCAGAACCCTTCCCCGCGCACCCTAAGAGCTCCCAGTACGGAACAAGGGATGGCATGTGTTTGAAAGAAAAATCCCGGGTGTGAGTTTAGATTACGCTGCTCTAAACATTCGAGCCATAATTATTGTTGTCCCTAAACCCTCCGTCAACATTGCGCAGCGATTGTTTGCGCGCCAGACAATCCCCTTTCTGTATAATGATGGAAGAGCGAGCAAGGCTGTGAGAAATGCGTCCGTCCACCTGATGTTTACGGAGCAAGAAAAGGAGAAAGGAATTTGGAAGGAATAGGTGCCGCATTATTGGGAGATTTACTTGCAATCAGCAGGAGGCGTGGATTTCATTTTTCATCATTTTTTGTATTTCATATTTCCATCAAATACTCATCATTTGTTCATGAAATACTCATCATATTTTTCATGAAATATTCATCTTTTCCATGACACATACATCATTCTAAGTCCTACATTCATAACATGAAGCTTGATCCAGTAGTCTCTGGTATTAAACTCTCATCACATTTGCTTAATATTATCATATTTCATCATTTTCCATTAAAATATTTGCCATTCATCATTAAATATCATATTTCATTACAGTGTGTTCATTTTGTCATTAAAAGTAATAACATTTCAGCAACTAATGATATACAAGCTATTCATTACCATCAAACATCTATTAATATCCATTCACCAAAATTTATATCCATGGACATGCATCAATCGCCTTTCATCTTGATATATATTTCATATTCATAGGTCATTAACTTTCATAATGTCATATCATAATACTCCATCAAAGTTTGAATGTAAAGTCAAAATTTGTGTACAAGACGCATGTTGGATGTAATTAACATATAATTTACATTAGATTTCATGTATATTTCATACTTTTAATATAATTAAATATTTAAATATTAAAATTAAATTTTTGATGTGTTTCAAGAAGATTATGATATGATTTTTATTTAATTACCACAAAATGTGACTTGATTTCTTCGGGGGAAGGGGTGGAGGACCAAAAATATAATTCATTTCATTAATTTCCATGCTCATTGACAAACACAAAGATTTATACTATAAATATACATAAATATCTTCATAAAGATCTCCATGAATGTAATAAAGCAGGGGATATCATACAAACCCCAAAAGCTAAACATGACCATCAATCCATCACAAAACCTATCAATCTTGACAGGGTTTTAAATACTATTTACAGGGGACTTTCTGTCATCCTTGGGCACCAATTTGACTTGGGTATTTTCAAATTAGTGTAGACAGGTTCATACTTAAGAAAAAGTAGAAAATATTTAGCCTCCTTTGATGGTTGTTGTTGAAGGACCTATCAACATGGCCGTAAATCATCCATCTAATGATGCAGTCCTAAAAGGCCTGTCCTCATCAGCTCGAGATTGCCAAATATCCCGCTATTTCAACTATCCCGATCGCAAATTATCCAGTTAGTTTGTGTCTTCATCAGCCCAAAGTTGCAGTTAGCGGGATATTTGGTCGGGTTAATCATCCCGAGATATCTTGCGATAGTTTGCAAAATATCCCGCTATTTGTCCTGTGTGTCTTCACTAGCCCGAAGACTCGCACTATGCGCGAACGCTGAGCAAAATATCTCGGGCTAATTACTCAAGGTCGAGTTTCAAGTTTCAAGGTCGAATCTCGAGCTGATGAAGACGCGATTTGTAACTTCGGGATTATTTCCCAAATCAAAAATAGCGAGCTATTTGGCAATCTCAAGCTGATGAAGACACGCCTGAAGAGGAGGGATATTCAAACACTCCCTCCAGTTTCCTGTACAAAAGCAAGCAGTGTGATGAAATATTTCAAGGAGATGAATTAAAGTGTCTGTCCACAGGTGTGCTAAGGTCTGTGGGTTTTTTCAGTGGGACGAGACATTTGAAACCTTAGGAAGCACATTGGCACATACATGTACGCCTAAAAATGTACATGTTTGAGGCAAACTTATAAACTTCTCACTCTGATCCTCGCCATGTTTTTCAGGGTTGGAATTTCTTTTCACTCTTATCTTTATCTCTCCTTCTCTTTCTATTCTGTCTCTTGCAGAATTAGTCTTATTCTTCAACTGGGAATTAGTTTATTACATACATGACATACCAGTATTTAAATATTGTACATGTATTTTCCTCATTACACTACAAAAACAATGTCACAAAACACATTTTAATTTAAGGAATATTTTTTCTTTATTTTTTATTATTTAAAAAAAAATCAACAACTTGAAAATGGAATACATCATTGTAATACAAGTAACTCCTTCATAATAAGTAAACACATGATACATGAACATAAAGAAATATTTAATGGTAACATAAAGTTCTACCAAAGAAGGCTCATCAAGCTCTTTCAGTACAACATTGATAGCTAAGGAACCTATCATGTGTATATTAGTAATGCATGTTTCATGTTTTCTTCATGTACGCAGGATGTTACGAAGCAACAGACTTTCCTGCATTACCAATGAGACCTTCACTGGACTCAAGGCAGTCAGACTTCTGTAAGTATTATGGTCTCCTCAAAAATTCATAACTTTCTCATTCTTTGTCCAATTTCATTCAAACTTTCACAAGGCTACTTTTTTTTTTTCTGTTTTCCTCTGGAAAGTTTGCTATCAAGGTTCCCTTTAAATGTTTTTATGAGTTCAAAATTTTAATTTGCTGGCAGCATATTTTAGCACATAGATTTTCAGGAGTTGTATGAAAATTTAAAAGTTGGGTATATATAGTAGAGGTGAAAATTATAATTTGTTCCCAAAGTCTGATTGTTGGATATGATTTAATTTGATATAACAGACAATTTCCATAGATTCCAAAAATGAGTTATTTTAGGTCAAAAAGAGTAATTGGAAGTGGATGGATGAAAGAGAGACAGTGAAGAAAGAAATTGCATATTTGAAAGGAACAAGGTAGGAAGCAAAAGATTGAAACAGTGGTTGAGCTTAAAATAGAGGAGGGAGGTACAGTATGTGAGATACATCACATTCAATTAAGAGATTGATGAGTAAACAAGGAAAAGGGGAAAATACTCTGAGTAGAATGCAAACATTATGAGATCTGATGCATGCCAAAGTGGACAAAATGTCATCTCGACACGTCTGATGATTATCAAATTGGCATCACTCACCGGTGCTGTCGGACGATCGCAGTTTCTAGCATGTCATGATACTTCCGATGTCCACTTCCGATTTGAATCTCCAGTTTGTCGTTGCCAATTAGATGTTTGATGAATGGCTACGTCTGACCTCATAGGTAACCCTAAGATACTACAAGGGTTTTTCTTCTTTCAGGTATTCAGGCACCCCCCCCCCTCCTCCCCTATGGATTAAAGTCTGTACTCAAATCTAAAGATATTCAGGCGGTTGATGACATATTAGGATTAGGTCCCATGTGTATGGATGTGAATCTTCCTCTGAGCATGGGATTTACTCATTTCCTCTCACTGAAAATTTTGAAAATTTAAGATTTACCTTTATGGTATTGAATCCTGAAATTTCTATAATCTTACTTTTAGTTTCACTTACCAGCCATTGTCAGCCACAAAAATTCAAATTTAAGATTTATGAGTATTAAATCCTGAAATTTCTATAATTGTACTTTTAGTTTCAGTGCCAAGCATTGTCAGTCACAGAGTTCAAAGATTTATGAGTTTTTTAAAATGTAATCAATTTGTTGTGAAAAAGAGCGATCCATTTCTAAAGTTTTACAGCCAGAGAATATTGATTATTTGCATTATATGTGTTGATCTCAAATATGAATATGCATACCTTTCCACATTCATACATAAATTCCAGTAATAAGATATGCACCTACATACTAAGAAAAGAAGATGACATTCCTATAGTTGAAAGTTTGTGATATCCAGTACAGGAAAGGGTCAGAATATGTGCACATGATTGTGCATTTACTCCTCATTATAGTAAGAGATCCTGAACTTAAGGATGATCATATTTAAAATAAAAGTGAAGTGATCACAATAACATATATATACTCTCAGCTGACATCCATTCTTCCTATCTCTTTCTGTCTTTGATTTATTGTCTGGATGTCGAGAGAAAATGCCACTTGACAAAATCACCTGGAAAAGAATCTGTTAACCCACAACAGTTGAAGTTCACCTAGGTCATAGGTCTTTGTAACTCCTTATCTGTCAGGAGATATTGTTTTTTGAAAGTAGGCACCCAGTATGTGTATGAACTGTCTCCTCAAATCCTTTTGTAGATGCTCAATAAAAAATAAAAACATTTTATGACAGTTAGGGATATGTTGCTACACTCTGTGATAAATGAAATCATTTTGATGTTGGTAAAGAATAAACAATTGAGAAACTTTGCAGTCAATGATTAAAATTTAGTTTGCTTTAACTTAAACTTGTATTTCCTTTATCTGCTCAGAAAATTTAACTTTGTATCAAAGAGCACTGCATTTTTTGCAGGTAAAAGCTACACTAAATGTTTATTGAAATATTGGAAACTTGATTCATTGTATCACAAAAATCATGATTTAAAAGAAAACCCATCTCACTTGGAGGAATGAATCTTCCAAAAACGATGAAGTCAAATGACAAAATGACAAATATGATTATTCATCACATGCTGTTATTCTAGTCTATGACAGATTTCTAGTACCGAAAATTGCTTTATCATTTTTCGGAAACAAATTCTGTCTCCGAAATAGTTGGCATTTTAAGTCAATTTGGCTGAAAAGGAAGGAGCATATAATGACTTCTTCCTATGTGGGTCAGGTTCAGGGTCAAAGTTGTAACTCCATAATTATATCGTCTTTAAAGATTGGTCATAAACAACAAAATTTGCTGTCTATTTCATAAATACCAACAAACTTTTTTTTCCAACTCACAATGTATATGTATGACTTTACAGACTGCTAAGCCTTTTTGGTACAGTATTAAACTTACTGAAATCAAGACACCTGAGAAAAAGGAGAAGAAGATAAACATAAAAGACATGATCTCTTTGCCATAAACTTAATGTTATGTGGATCTGTTTTAATTCATTTGTTTAGCCGTAAATTTTAGCATTTAGCGTCTGCACATTCACTTTAATACAATGGATACATGCACATGAATGGTTTCATTTCATGAGAAATTATTAAGTTGCTAGATTAAAAGTAATCTCTCCCTTCTCTGTCTCTCTTCTCAATCTCTATCTCTCTCTGTCTCCGTCTGTCTGCCTGTCTCTTTTTTTTTGGGGGGGGGGGCGGATGCCCCACTGTACCCCAAGTTCTTTAGGCAACTGTCCATATAAACCTGTAATTAAAATTATTCCATTTTTTTTTAAATTTCAAGTGTATTTCTTCTTTTTTTCTTGTTCTCAGGTCATTGTATGATAATGCCATCAGCACCATTATGCCTGGTTCCTTGGATTCTATGAAAGCTTTGGCAACTCTGTAAGTATCATTATTCTGCATCATACATGTATATGTATGTCTTTATGCTTTTGTAATGTTATTTATGTTCTCTCTGTATCTTCTTTCTCTGTTTTCTCCTCTTTTCTCTTGTTTTTTTTTCTTTCCTTCTGTTTTTGGGGTGGTTTTTTCTTCTCTTTTTCTCTTCCTTATTACTCTCTTTTTATTTATTTTTCTCTGTTTTCCTCTTGTCATCTTCTCTTTTCTGTTTCTCTTTTGTCTGTCTATTTCTCTTTTTCCTCTCTGTTTCTCTCTTTTCTCTCTGTTTCTTTTTTTTCTCTGTTTCTCTTCTTTCTCTGTTTCTTTTTTTTTCTCTGTTTCTTTTTTCTCTCTGTTTCTCTTTTTTTCTCTGTTTCTCTTCTTTCTCTGTTTCTCTTTTTTCTCTGTTTCTCTTCTTTCTCTGTTTCTTTTTTTCTCTGTTTCTCTTCTTTCTCTGTTTCTTTTTTTTCTCTGTTTCTCTTTTTCCTCTCTGTTTCTCTTTTTTCTCTCTGTTTCTCTTTTTTCTCTCTGTTTCTCTTTTTTCTCTCTGTTTCTCTTTTTTCTCTCTGTTTCTCTTTTTCCTCTCTGTTTCTCTTTTTTCTCTCTGTTTCTCTTTTTTCTCTGTTTCTCTTCTTTCTCTGTTTCTTTTTTTTTCTCTGTTTCTTTTTTCTCTCTGTTTCTCTTTTTTTCTCTGTTTCTCTTCTTTCTCTGTTTCTCTTTTTTCTCTGTTTCTCTTCTTTCTATGTTTCTTTTTTTCTCTGTTTCTCTTCTTTCTCTGTTTCTTTTTTCTCTCTGTTTCTCTTTTTTTCTCTCTGTTTCTCTTTTCTCTCTCTGTTTCTCTTTTTTCTCTCTGTTTCTCTTTTTTCTCTCTGTTTCTCTTTTTTTCTCTCTGTTTCTCTTTTTTTCTCTCTGTTTCTCTTTTCTCTCTCTGTTTCTCTTTTTTCTCTCTGTTTCTCTTTTTTCTCTCTGTTTCTCTTTCCTCCAATCAGTTTCTCTTCCAGTTTCTCTGTAAGTCACTTTTTCTGTGAGCCACTTTCTCTCTCTCTCTCTCTCTCTCTCTCTTTCTCTTTCTCTCCCCTCTCTCTCCCCCACTCTCTCATTCTATCCTCTTCCCTCTGTCTCTTTCTGTGTTTGTCTGTCCCCCTCTCCCTCTCACTCGTTTTCTCTGATCTCTATGTTGGTAAACATGTCTCTGTGTTTGCTCCCCGTCTTTGCGAACCTGTTGCCAAGATTCCATGCGTCCACACATCCATTTTCTGACCTAAATTTGACTCTCTTTGTGGCTACCACTTCCAGCTAGAATTATGGTTTGCAATCTGATCCTAAGAAGGAAAGGGGGAGTGTGGTCAATAAATGTTGACAGATTTCCTTCATGTGAGGTCTTATAGACTTCCAAATATATCTTCTGCTGATTCATCTGAATTCTGATATAGGCAAGTGTCGGAGATACCCCAGTTATAGTTATTTGGATGATACGAGATATATATGTATGGCATGAAAGTTAGGAGTGAGGTTAGGACAGAGAAAGATGATATTACACATCTCAATATCTTCATTCCAATTGATTGATGCTTTTCCTTAGATAGATTATGTCTTTCTGTATTCTCAGTCATTGACATTTTAATATCCCAAGTACAATACATGTTCAAATTACATGTATGGATGTACTTACCAATATGTGGTATAAATATTGTCATATTCAGAATGATACCAGTATCAGTTTAGTTATGCAGTTTTATCTCTATGATTACATCATTTTCATCCTCATTATTTAAATAAAATTACCGGTAGGGAAAAAAGAATGATCCTACAAATCTGACATTCAATATTGAGCCTTTCCAAATTGATCATATACATTGTATGCATGGCTTTATTGTATCAGAAATCTGCTTGGAAACCCGTTAAACTGTAACTGCCATCTGTCCTGGTTACCTGACTACCTGTCTGCTCGTCTGATCATCACCGGTGAACCACGCTGCCAGGAGCCCTCTACACTCCAGGACACACCCATTCAGACTCTCCAGAGAGACCAGTTCACCTGTGAAGGTGAGATAAAGAGGGAGAGAGAGAGAGAGAGAGAGAGTGGTGCTGGTGGTACAAGTATTGATGATTATATAGATTGTTGATTGTGTAGCAGATTGATGCCTGACTTTTAAAGATATGATGATGCGAGGATGATGATGGTGGTGGTGGTGGTGGTGGTGGTGGTGGTGGTGGTGGTGGTGGTGGTTGTGGTGGTGGTGGAGGTGGTGGAGGTGGTGGTGGTGGTGGTGGTGGTGGTGGTGGTGGTGGTGGTGGCGGCGGCGACGACGACGACGACGACGATGATGGCGACGGCGACGATGGTGGTGGTGGTGATGAGGATGATGATGATGATGATGATGATGATGATGATGATGATGATGATGATGATGATGATGATGATGATGATGATAATGATGGTGGTGGTGGTGGTGATGATGATGATGATGGTGATGGTGATGATGATGATGATGGTGATGAGGATAATGATGATGATAAATGATGGTGGTGGTGGTGGTGATGATGATGGTGATGATGATAGTGATGATGATAGTGATAATGATGATGATGATGATGATGTAATGAGTGATGATAAAATGAATGATCTGATGACGAAATGGATGATAAGGATGATGAATTGATGATCAAATGCATAGTAGTAATATGAAAATTTTAAAGAATTAAAACAATTTTGCAGCTACGTAGGCTTTACTAGACATTTGTAGACAATTATAATTATTGTTATCAAATAGAAACTTCCACAGTCTGAGAATCTTACATCCACTTTATATCCTGCATCATGTCTAATGAAGGCAATACTATCTGACGGATCATTCAGACGTACTTAACAAACATGTTCTGAAAGGTTCATCGATTCTCCTCTGTCATTCTGTCTGGCCACTGAATGAATTCCTCATATCGCAAGATTGAGGATGAGATTGCAAACATGTTTGTCCAATTATTTCTGACTCATCAACGGATTGCAAGATGATTGCGTATATCAGTCAACCAGTGGTCATTTCAGTTCATTGTGCATCATTTAAGGTCATTTCAGTTCACAATGTGTTTTCACCTTTGATACTCGGCATGTATAATATTCATTATAAGAATTGAAGGTTTAACACATCTGAAAGGATCTGAATAACTAAGTTATTGTAATATATATAATGTAAAGAAGAGACTGAGACTAGAAGAAAGCTGATATATGTAAAGATGTGTGTGCTGTTTTTTGGAAGAAGTCATAAGTATACTTTAAACTTGGAATTATTAGGTTTTTATGTTGGAAAATACAGTGTAGGAGGAATAAAATCAAGAAATATTATTTAGGTTCATATTGGTCTCATTGTTAATTAGTGGTTTAAGGGATTTTGTTATGATTTTTCAAAGCAGTTTCAGTTACTTAGAATTTCTAAAGAATTTCAGCTATGGAAATATTCAATCATTTGAGAAAAAAATAAGAGAACAGTCATGTACATTAGACCACCAAAGGAGAGAATCTAGATCTTCATTCATGTAATGTTTTTCACCACTATATCATCTATTGTCTTGATAATTACTTCTATCTGTGTGTTTCTTTGACAACTTTGCAGGGAATGATCACAACAGCTGCCTCCCATCCCTAGCCTGCCCCAGGGAGTGTGCCTGCAGTGGCACGGTGGTCAGGTGTAGCCGCAAAGAACTCACACTACCCCCTCGTTTCATCCCAACGGGGGCTACTGAGCTGTAAGTCTATCGCCCCTTCCCCCCTCTCACCCGACCAGAAATACACAAGAGAAAACAGACTGAAAATTAATTTTCCAAGAAGGAAGGGTTAATTCTGAGCTGTGTATGCCTATGACATAAAGTATTTTGTCAATTTATTTCATCGTAATTTGAAAATATTATGCTGAGACCATTGACTAATTATCCCAGGAAGAATAATTTGTCATGGCCCAATCAAGACATTTACATTCTTGATAATAAAATGGATACCGTAAGTATAGGATAATAACATGTATTTATAGAAGTAGTAATCAAAGTTTGAATGATTTCTTTCAGGTACCTGGATTCCAATCAGATGATCACTGTACCAGAGAGGCTGAGCAGTCTCAAGAGTCTTCATACATTGTGAGTTAAAAAACTGAATTAGCATATGAGAACACTTCTTTAAAAATCCACTTTTCTACCGTGACTTATTTCCACATCGTAATTCAGCATATCAGACATCTTATAGATCACTTATCAGCTTTCTCAACGCTTACCCTTCAATTAAATCTGTCAATCGAGGACGTACATGTATTACGTGTACTCTCGATCAGAATTAGTTGTAACCCTCTCTCCCATCGTGATACCAGTTTATGGTCTTTTGAAGAAGGTTAATTGAACCTGTCTCGGATCTGATCCCTAGTCTAAATTCCCACAGGGCCTATTTCCAGGATCCTATACCTCTCTTCCTTCCAATCTTAATTCATGCGCATCCCCTTACATCAGCAGTAATGAATGGACTTCCTAACTATCTCTCTCTCTCTCTCTCTCTCTCTCTCTATCTCTCTCTCTCTCTCTCACGATCTCTCTTTCTCTCTTTCTCTCTCTTTCTCTCTCTCTCTCTCTCTCTCTCTCTCTCTCTCACGATCCCTCGCTTATGAGGAAGTCCAATCTTGTCTCCCAACTTCGTCCTCGGAAAGATGCGCCCATGATTTTGATTGGTTAAACGAAGAGCATGGTTTTGTGGTCTAGCGTGTTATTTTTGAGTGATTATTTAATTGAATTACACATAATCAGGAAAGAGATGTTTGGGAGCTGTCATCCACTGTCTACACAGTATATTTTGCTCATTTCAGGGTTAAAGTTAGGGTTATGTGAGTTTAAGGGGACGGATGTTAGATGAATCGCATGTTAGACAAACGTGTCGCCATCATTTTCCTTGAAAATTAATGTTGAAAGAGATGCATCTGATACCATCCTCGGGTAACACGAACAAGGGCATAATAAGGTTTCTGGAGGTTGCTGTAGATATTAAATGCTTTTTAAGCTTTACCTTTGTATTAAAATATATATTGACCCTTATTATAGTTGATTTCTATCGCAAAAGTAATATAAATTTTCATTTAACAACTAAAATTATTCATACCCTTACCAAGTTTTGTATTTTTTCCAAGTATGTGAAAATTGATATGTCCCTATATTTGTTTCTTGAGAATGTGACAGATCAAAGCTTAAATCTAAAAGTTTTCAACAAATGCCCTAATGCAACCAATCCACCTTTCATTCTTGAGTTACGAAAACACCACCAAAAAAAATCAAAAAAAAAATCAAATCAAATTTACAAGAGGTATGAATAATTTAGTTGTTAACTGTACACAAATTTTCTGAAAAGAATGATGTTTTATTGTTACAGAGAAATATTCTTACTGCATTGGCGAGAGAAGAGTGGTTGTGTAAATGATTTTTTTAATAAATGTATTTGATTTACTTTTCAGAGACCTGAGCATGAACCAGATTGCCATGTTACCAGACTTTGCATTTGCCAACATGACCAAGCTTTCGACTCTGTAAGTACATGTATACAATAACACCCTTTTTCTTAAGTTCCTAAACATCTTCACATCTTCCCTCTTTTGATGTGCACGTGTAACTTGATTTTTACAGACAGACTTGATTGCGTATGTCTGGCACTGACATTTTACATTTCTACCCTCTCCTGTATTTGTTCTTTCATGTCATGTTTTCTTGGAATGTTTGTACACTAGAATGAGAAAAAGTCTTTCTTTTTTCATTTTCTCATCAGTAAAAAGGAATTACCAGATTTGCAAGAAAAATATTCTCATTGTTCCATCATCAATTAAATGAGACTCTTTAGTGATTCAAACTAGAGTGAATTCACTGTAGTGAGCAAAAAATGGTACGTCTGCCATGTTGATAAGGTAAATGCCTCGAACTAGGCTTATGGTAAACCAGCTAAGGTGAATCATATCTGTCTAAATAGAACACATTCCTAGAAAAAGTTTGTAGAAAACGTTTGTAGAACACGTAGTCTACTGTTTACTACAAATGACTATGGCTGGCTTTGAAGGAGGGGGGAAGCGCAATACAAAGGTTGGTTTTAGGCTTCCTGGGATATAGCTCCAGGCAAAGGGGAAATACAACACACCTCATTAGGGGTGCTGACAGCAGGAATAATCACTGACTGAACCGCCAAACTCCAGAGACACTCCATAGGAGGGGAGGATTTCCACCTCTGGTATGAGTAAGAGCTGGAGGAGGGGTGCATACCCGCACCCCTATGGTGCTGATTCCATCACTCTGTAGGAATAGACATACCCTGCTTCCCCTTTCACTCCCAACCCACCTTCCTTTTCTTATCGGACCTTGAAGTCCGGCCGTCTCAACGTCCTGTACGTTGTGTCCTGTCATACCTTCCTCTTATAGCGTCTCTTGTCCAGTAATGAAGAACTGTTCTCAACAAGTCCTGCGTCAAGGATAAAATTGCTTCTACACAAATACATATTTGCCTGAATTCATTCGTGCCAAACACGTTTTTTTGAACAGCGTTCATGTATTTTCTTCTTTGAAGGGTTAGATTTTGGCTTATACTGCCATGTTTTTGTCATTTGTCATAAATCATCTTCAAGAGTTTATGAATTCTACAGTGGGGTCAAATGAACAGCTTTCGTGTATTTTCTTTCAAGAGTTAAGGGATTTTGGTGTATACTGCCATGTTTTATTGTCATTTGTCACAAATTATCTTCAAGAGTCGATGAATGAATTCTACAGTGGGGTTAAATGTTTCTGCTTCAGAAAGAAAATGTAGCCATTCTAAGTTTTCCCCCATAGACTGTCCTGTTGCTTTCATCTGATGCTTTGTTTCCTAGTAGAGGCAGTGCATATATATGTAGATAATCTTTGGTAATACATGTATATGTTTTGATTTTGGTTAATCCTTCAGATACAACTTGATTTTGATACAACATGCATTTTCCATAGATACTTGCTGGAGTAATCTCTGGTTTAGTATTGAAGTGGTTATGGTCATTATGGGAAAACGATTTTTCAGTGTCCAGTCTCAAAGAGATATGTCATTAAAGACAGACAACTCTCTCACTTCCCTTCCTCGGTCAGTTTCGTAAAATGGAAATTCCTTCTAATTTGGTTTTGTAAATATAAAGCAAATTACCACTATCCACAATCAGTGCATTCAACTTCTTTCCTGGGGAGTTTCAGGTCTAGAAATGCGAAGGTCCTGTCCCCTTTACGTAGATTGCGGGTTTTTAATTGAGTTAGGATCTTGTGGTATCCACCTTCAAGGAGAGGTGATTAAATCAGGTGGCATTTATCATATCTGTGGAAGTTCCCTGTACTCTGTCCTCTTCCAAACTGTAATGCCTGCCCTGTTTCTAATTTCCCTCCAACAAGGTTATATTTAGATGTTCTCTAAGCTGATTTGTTTCAGTTTGATATTTTAAAGCCCTTCTCTGTTTTGTTTTCTCTGATTCATTTTCCCCTTGTAATAAACCCTTTTCTTTTAAATCTAAACCCAAGATCACTTTAAGAAACAATTTGAATCACTGTACATAGTCCTGTTTCTGTGTCAAAACCAATGAGTACCGGTATTGATTTGGCACTTGTATTGTCGGTAAAATTTGCAGTGAATGTATGCTATGTGAGCTTGACTGTTTATAGATCATGCAAAAAATGCACAGAGAGCGATAAAGTCAGGTGTACTGATGCACACTTATAGTCCATTGGTCATCTCATCATATGCTTGCTTTAATCTTCTTTCTTATTCTAATATGATTGTAATAAGCGCTATATAAAAACTGAGTATTATTATTATTATTATTCTGCAGGATCCTGAGTTATAACCGTATCAGCTGTATTCCAGATGGAGCATTCATGGGTCTCAACTCTCTCAGAATTCTGTAAGTATATGATATATCAGGGGATATAGAGAGCAAGCTTTACTGAAACTATTGAAGTAGACACTTTGAGTGCTGTAGAACATTTTAGCCATCCAAATCCTTATGTTGTGTCTCATAATTTGGGTCTACACGGTAAGAAAGGAATGTCTTTCTTCTTAAAATTCACAATTGGCTCAAAAATGGTGAACTTTGGTACGGTGGATCACCAAACATTCTTGAAATCCTATTGGTAATAAATGGTTGATCAAAAGGATATGAAGATATTAGAGACCACACATAATGCCCATTGTACTGTACTTCAGCTGTGATATGAAAGAAAGCATTAACATTGCATAAAGCTAGTATCAGCTTCAAACATCTAAACGTTCATCGATGCTCCCCGTTCCTTCCGTGCCATCAACACGCGCTCAAACTTATGAACTCCCTGGTCGCTGGGTCTCTTCCACAACCTTAACCATCGCCAGACTCTCCAATGTATCATTTCCTTTCCATCATTTCCATTGTAACAATGATTGTCTTCAAACTCTGGAAGAATTCACAGGAAGGGAGGGGACAATCATTAGATGATAAACTCGTCATGTAAAGCTGGATTATTTTAGCAGAACAAGTGAAACAGATATCGAAAGTCATCCTCCGAGTCAAATAAAAATGTGATATGTTAAGCTACCATCTGCTATGAATAAATTTCTGTATAGGTTTTAAGGTAAGATGACCCGTATTGTAATCTGAATGTTGTTTGCGTAGCTATATAAAGGAGGAGAAATGAGTCTTGATATTCACCTGTGAAAGATTAGAAAGGGAAGTATCTGTAGAGGCCTGTCCTCATCAGACCGAGTTGCAAAATAACCCGCTATTTTCAGACTCGGGATATTTTCCTGAAGCTCGAAATTGCGTCTCCACCAGACCGATACGCTCATCACAAACTAGCTTGGACGGGCGCAAAGTAGCCGGCGCGATAGCTCAGTCGGTAGACTGAGTGGGCTCGTAATCTGGTGACCCTGGTTTGAAACCAAGTCGCTGCGCTAGTGCCCTTTGATAAGGCATCATTACCAGGTCCCTCAGAGAGGACCTAAAGCCATTGGCCGTCTGGTTGCTTACTTAAAAGTATTTATGCTTTCTTAGCCGTCAGGTAAAACAACCACCACCACCATTTTGGAAACAAGACCAAGATTTCTTGGGATATTTTCTCGACCAAATAGCCGGCTAATTGCAACTGAGGGCTGATGAAAACACAAATTAGAGATCGGGCTAGTTAAAATAGCGGGTTATTTTGCCACTTCGGTCTGATGAAAACAGGCCTTTGGTGTATCAGTTTCTTTAGTTAATCCATTTACTATAATTCAGTAGTCAAGAGGTTAATATAAAAAAGACTCCTCGAGAATGATAATTAGATCACGGGTTAAGCCATCGAGGAAGTTGAATGCCAAACTTGATTGGAAATGTTTTATGGATGTTTTTTCCCCAGCATAATTGAATTGTGGAAATTTTAGGATGATATTAATGTAGGTTTTTTGTAACAAATCATAAATCTTATTTCTGGGATAGTGGCTCTTGGTTGTATCCCAGTTTTTGTTTCCATTATCAAAGATCAAACAAATTTACTTAATTGGCTTTTCAAATAATCTAGAAAGTTTCATGATCTTTCATAAAATGCACATGTCACATGTTATGGGGTTCTTGAAACGCAGAGAGAGAATTTGTACTGGTGTGTCTTGATGTTCTTAATGTTGGTTATAATATCCAGTTTCATTGCATATGATTTTATTTTGGGAATAATAATACATCTACAATTCACCATCATTTATTCACCAGAAAAGGATTAGGCATAGGTTTAACTTTTCTCATATTATGCATCATTTGGTTCAATCATCTTTTTTATATTAAACATTGAAATCTGATGAAGGTGTATTACATTATCTTTAATAATTCCCCAAGAAATCTGATACACAAGGGGAATATTAATTTAATTATCATAAATGAAATAGCTAGGTTGATCATAGTTTGACTTCAGTTGGAGTTATCATGCAGTGAAACCGGCCCTTTCAGCTCGTCAACCTCACATTGTTAGTTTCAACTGAAATTGGAGAAGGCATTGGCAATTTAGATTTAATGGAGAGGTTTTTATTTCATCATGAAAAAAACAGGATAAATTAGATTGGGTAGATGATAGTGTCTGGTGAAGTTGGGAACATTTTATAGTCAGGTGCTCGTTTCAAGTTTCTTCCCATTCTAAATTTTACGATCTAAGGAAACGTGACACTTTCCTACCACTGTAACATGACCCAAAGTTTGTTGTCTGTGCTGCCATGACTCACCTCCTAAACGAAAACCTGCTCCAGATACCCTTTCAATGTCAGAACACATCAGCACCTGATGTCACCTCTCCCCATGCCGTCTGCTTGCGTAGGTAACGGGTCATTCACACAAGAAAAAATATATACAAAATTCCTCTAAAAATGTTTATATACGTGCAGCAAAAAGCATTTGCACTTGGTATAATAATGTCATACAAAGGAACATCACAGAAGAAGCTAGTGTATGGAAGGGCGGTTTATACTATAGGCTTACGCCATGGGCCGGGCATTGCTCGAGTGTAAAAAGTAAAGCCCTCTCATCACATCAGGTCAGTTATATACATGTACACCTGTAGTGTTCGTTTGATAAAGTGTTTCAAACCCCAGTTCTATAAAATGAAGTTTGGTTAATTGCAGTATTATAAAAAAATATCAATTAATAGCTTATACCTATTGTAGTTAAATACCACTGATAAACAATTCATTCCTTATACCTAATACATGTACGGTAGCTATACAATAAACAATTCATTCCTTATACCAAATACTTGTAGCTATACCACAATTTTTGTCGGTCTGAATGAGGGTATGGTAGCAGCAGTGCACATGACCCTGAATGGAGACGCCAACGCAGTAATGTTACGTGCCTCTGGATCCAGTGGCTATAATGATGTTCTGAATGAAAAAGGCTAGATTTTGATGTGATTAGAGGAAAATTGATATGACACAGTGACACACTTTGTCCTGTGTGATCGGTGAAGTTATGTTTGATACAGAGAGTTTGCCCTTTCACGTTTAAAGTTTGAAGGAGCCAACTTTCTTTTTCCTAACATAGTTTTTGTCACATCATCTTAATCTAATCCAGTCTGATGTTTTGAGTTTGATACACAGGTATCTCAGAAATTAGTGATCATTATTTTAAGGGTACAATGTACATTCCAAATAGAATGAAAGAATGATTTCAAAATTTAATGTGAGGCAGCTATTTCATTATTGGTACATGACATATTGTTTTAACTCAACAGTAGCAATATTCATTGGAAAAACATGTATAAAGAATAATCCTGACAGAATAAATCCTGAAATCTCTTTATCGATCAAAGCATTGATAAGTGAATGTTTCTAGTCAGTTTTTTAAGGCAATATAGGCCTACGTTATGTTATTTTGATTTATATGGTACCAGTAAGGAGAATGTTGACAATGAAATGTAGTTTAGCATATGACGACGGTATGATTTGTATGAAGAAATCATATTTTGGTTGAAATCTAGTCAGAGTTCATGCCTTGATTATTCCTAGAACTCCAAGCTCACCGCCGCTCCTGATCACCACATAGTCCATACAGTGACGATAGATGACTAAACTCAGAAATGTCAGCTCTAATTTGAAACGTATTACATCTCAAAAGTCTAGCCTCACCAGGAGTGCACAACAAATGCTTTTAAAGGAGGAAAAAATACATTACTTATGTCGGAGGGGAAACTTTGGATTGGAGGGGGTCCGTGGAGGTTTGAAAGTGTGAGAAGAAATAATTCTTTAGGGGTTGCGAGGGGGCAATGACTTGGGTGTGTACAGATGTAACTAAAGAAGTTGGTCTTTTGGAGGCATTGCAAGATGAGTAATGCTTTAAATATGTAGAAAATCCGCTGATATTACTTCAAGAAGGATCATTTCAGCGTAATTGTCTTGACTTTTGTGCGGTTTGTTCTCTATTCAGACACAACACTACATGTATGAGAATGGTACCGAAAGATTTGGCAGGTCATAGACCTGCAGTTATATCCATCTTGCATTGCAATAGACATAGTTGTTTGTGTAGCTATTTACCAGGATGGGATTGTTTGTCTGTTATTTGTACTTTTCTGTTTTTGCTATGTATTGAATAAATGATTTAAGATATTTCATTTATTGCAAATTTGATATGTAACAATGAAAAGAATTCAACTTATACCGGTCATTGTGATTTGGTTTTGCAATCAGTCTAGTTTAACATGTATCACTTTTCCTGTATATACTGAGCAAAACAAAATATAAAATACAAATATGAACGAATGATTAATTAAGAATAAAACAAGTATTGAACCTATAATGTTTGTAATGACCAAATTATGATACATGTACTTGTGTACTTCATATTTTGAATGAATGATGGTCCTAATGAAAGGAAATACACTCTGTGCGTGACTCAAATATTACTCCCAATGGCCTGAGAAGATCCACTTAGTTCAGAATGAGTTGTGACATTTTCTGGCAAGCTTTATGGAGCTGGCTATTGTTTTCTAGCCAAATGTAATTTTAATTCTCACAGAGGCTCCTGAAGTGTTGGGCCAACATGAATTACTCAGAAGAAGAAAAAGAGAAAAGTGCTAAATTGATCTCTTCCGAGAAGAGAAAAAAATGAAGTGAAAGTCGATTTTATCAGTTTAATGTATTACATTACATGCTCTTGAATATATCTCGTTCCTGCATAATAGTTTCAGCATTTATTTCTAAAGAGTGTTTAAACATGCATTTTAAACAACTATACTCTAGATAATCAATGCCATATTACCACCTGTTTTAAAACTCAAAAGTTGCATCAGTGCCTTTGGTTGTATTAGAATAAAGCAAGTCAACGGTTGTACAAATGTATAAAGATCACCAACCAGGGGAAGTGCTGAAGTATTTTGCAAAGGATAAATGCTGTGTGCAAAATATGTGGTTTAGAACAGAGTTTTGGGGGTTTCGAGACCACCAGGCTAATTACAAATGTATTGCACCTTGTAAACAATTTGTTTTGCTCCTTTCTTTCAATCAATCAAAATGTCAATTACAGATTTGAGGGACACAAAGTATGTATGATTATTGACATGAAAACCGAAAATTCTAATTCTTGAAATCTTTGTTGATTCTTTCAGGTCTCTCCATGGTAACAACATCTCAATCATCTCAGAAAGCTCCTTTTCAGACTTCACATCACTCACTCACCTGTAAGTATTATCACGGATTATAGGAGGGAGGGAGGGAGGGAGGGAGGGAGGGAGGGAGGGAGGTCAAAAGCAATATGACTTTAAAAATATCCTTTCAATGAACAAATCATTTCATTAGCATAGATTCAGAAGTTGGCTGTTTAAAATACTTCCGTTCTTTTGTTTGACTAGCTGTTGTATCTAGTGTACACGTGCTTAAAAGTACATGCACATACAAGCCAGCTGTGGGCCGGTATGAGTAATATCTAGAGCGCCATGGCAGTATCAAGACCAGAAGACGACTTGTGGCAGAGCCTCTTTTAAATGTCCCTACTGATTTAGACTCCCAGTCATCACTCCCCTGCAATTTTAAAAAAAAGAGCAGAAGTTTGAACCATATTTGAGCTCCAAAGTATGCCAAATCTAGTTAGTGATACATAGTGGATGTTTTTTCTTTCCTTTCTCCCTATGTGTTGAGCTCTTTTGCATGTTCTATTAAATTTACCTCTTTCTCTATTCCTCTGTCTCTTCTCCTCATCACAGTGAAATTATTGTGTCTCTTGTTGTCTCTCCTTTCTTTACTTTGTCTGCTTTATTCCTTCTCTGGATCTTCTATCCTCTCTTCTCTCTCCTCTTTCTCTCAGTCAATGTTTTCTCTCTTTCCCCAGAATCTTATTTTCATATTCTCTCTCTATCTTTCTCTCTCTTTCTCTCTTCCTCTTTTTCTCTCTTCCTCTTTTTCTCTCTTCCTCTCTCTTTCTCTTTTTTCTCTCTTTTTTCTCTTTCTCTCTCTCTTTTTCTCTCTTATTCTCTTTTTTTACTCTGTATATCTCTCTCTCTCTTGCTCTCTTTCCCTTGCTCTTTCTTTCTTTCTCTCTCTCTCTCTCTCTGTCTCTCCCTCCCTCTCTATTTTACTCTCTCTCTATCTCTTACTCTTTGCATGTATCTCTTTCTGTGCAAAATGTTGTGATGCTTTTAGGCCTCTGTTCAAGTGCATATATGTATGTGGCTCCAAGAGCCTTTTTCCTCTCCTGTTTTCTCTTTTGTTCAGTTTTCGGTCTTCCATTCACTATACCGCCGGCAGGACGCTTCTGATTTTCTCCTGACCGTTCTAATTTCCCGAACATAGGTTGAACTCGGCCGGCCAAATGTCCCAGATTAATCCTGACAGATATGATGCTATTCTGTTTCAAGGAAAACATGAAGATTATCCACCATTAAAGGCTCTTGCATGTAAAATAACAGGAAGCTAGGATGTTTATTTGTTATTTGTTCTTTGCAAAGGACTCTTCGGTTAATAAAATTCAATATCATTTGTGTGGACTTTCAAAAAAGGAGCGGACTTATATCCTATTAATTATATTTTAATTTGACAGGAGGTAAATTTTCACCGACTGAGATACACAGTCTCAATAGCATAACAGTATCTTTTACATTGCCATATCTGTCAAACAAAACAGAAACAAAATTATTGAATTTTTTGTTTCGTTTGTTAAGAAAGAAAAAATAGGTAAACCAATTTAGGAGACAGCTACTTTAAGGCAAAGGAACATGTTTCTCAATTAAGACGTTCCATACATAGCTAAAAGAGGAACTACCTTTCAAATTTCTTCATTAAGTAAAAGCTATCTTTAAAGTTTAAAGTTTAATCCTGAACTAATTTAGGAAACAAAAGGGCCCAAGCCATCTGTTTTCAGTGCAGCCATCTGTTTTGAATTCCTTGTGTTTCCTTGTAATCATTCTCCTGGGATGGTCATCATCACAACTCATCAAACGTGTCCTTTATGATCTCAGTATTACAACTTAACTAGTGTGTCACCATAACAGAGTTCACACCGTACAAAGGGTTCTGGGAGGTGTTTCACAAAAACTAAGATCGACTTTATTAAAGTTGGACTTAACTATGACAGGCTGTTCGTGTTTACTGGTTGCTCTCACCATTATGATCTTTAGATAAATTTTTTTTGTACAATAATGAACTACCAAAATTTATCTCAAGAAAATGAAACACACTTTATGTGGTGCCAGTTACTATCAAATGCACATTTATGAGGATATACATGTACCTTTAGTACGGTAACTTATTACACAATACATGTAGCAAAGGTTACCATGTGTCATGCACTCTAATAGAACCAGATATCCTAATTTCACACTAAAGTTTACCTTTCACTCTGTTCCTGTTTTCCCCTCCTATAATTAATTAGGACTGGTTCATATTAGTGTTTGCTGTTTTAATTTAAATTTTTGGTTTTTGCGGCCAGTACATCTCTCTCTGTCTCTGATTTAGTTTGTTTGTCTTTCTTGTCATCTGCCTCTTTCATATTTCCTCTATCTTTCGGGAACTCATCCCTTCAATCTCTCTCTCATCTCCTCTCTCAATCCATGTCCCCCTCTTTCTTTTTATTTCCCCTCATATTTTACTTATAATTCTTAAGGAAATTCCTTTCTTCACCTTTCTAAATTTTGTTCACCCCCCCCCCCCCCCCCCCCGCCCCTTAGAATTCATGACTAACTTACATATTTCATCACTTTTTATCTAAAACCTGTATTGCTCCTTTTTTCTAAATCCTTTTCCCACCAGCACAATAACAACAACAAAAATGACAAAAAGCATTGTTAATATAATGCTTATAAAATATGGTGTCGACAAATATTAAGATTGAACTATATGAATTACTGAACAAATATATAAAATCTATTTATATTTACCATTTGTTAAGTGAAGTATAAAGTGAAAATGATAAGAGTTTGTAATGATAATACATTAACAAATAAGTTAACTTAGATTGGAGGAGGAAGTTAATGATTCTAGTTTCATATTGAAGGAATTATTGCAAATTTTGAAAGATTTACTATCAAAAACTGCTCCATGCCATCACTCTCCACAAAAAGGTATCAATTTTATGTAGAATCGTTGTGAGATACATGTATGGATTGGTCATGTGAATCGCCATTTCGTGATGCATCCAGAAGAAAATTAGTATGGATTGGGGTCAGTCTATGGGGGAAATTTCAACCAATTAGTCTTGTTTCCTCCGATTAGACCAGGTTCTATCTCCATCCTCGATGGAGATGTCGGCCAAATAATTGCGGCAGATTTCAGAGCAAAAAGAAACGAGATGATGTGATGAAAATATTATGAGCTGATGAAGATAATTTGGACCAATTAATAAAGGATGTCATATTTTTGGCGCTGATTTGGAGAGAAATAAATCAGGTTTATTATGATTTTTTAATTGCTTGACTGATGAAAGAATAAGTTTGATATTTTCCTATAAGATTAATCCTTTTCCAGAAATTATAGCTATAGAACTTTATTGTCCAACTTGGATTTTTGTGATATACATTTGAAAAGGCTCAGGACTATGATTTTTGATAGATGAGAGAAAACAAGAATATTCCTCGTTTGGTAAAGTTTCATTTACAATGTAGATTTCACAGGAGTAATTTTGATAGTGACATATTAATATTCACAATGCAAGTATAAGAGAGAAAGAGAGAGAGAGAGTGAGAGAGAGAGAGAGATAGAAAGAGAGAGAGAGAGACAGACAGACAGAGTGAGAAGAGGACAAATGGACAGATACAGACAGAGACAAACAGAGGAAGGGAAAAAACAACTACTGTATGTAGGGAAGACTTGTTCTCCCGAGAGTCTACCTGACAGGAACTGGAAAATAACCGTTTTTATTAGGAATTTTAAATCTATTCATAGTTCATTCTAAATTCCACTTTGCTCCCCTTTTAATTGCTATTGACAGTGTTGATATGACAGCTCATAAAACATGAAATCAACTGAATTACTGCTCGATCATTGAGTGGCTTTTTCCCTGCAACGAATGTGTGAGGAGGATGTTCCTGTTCAACTCGGAACGAACGGAGTCATGAAGTTAAACATCCGCAAACAGTTTGGGGTGTTTTTTATTAGTTGCCAGTGAGAGGAGGAAAAAGTCTGGTGATGAAACATGAAGTAATCTTATCTGTTGACGGGTTCCTTTCATGTTTTGTTACAAGTTTGTATGTTTTGCTCGATTTGAGCATAATACATGTATGTGTGTCATGTGATCCTGTATCACACATATCGTGCAGCCATCACATGATCATACCGATGATGATGATGATGATGATGACAATGACATGAATAGTATTTTTGTCTCAATGTTTCATGAAGATTGTATTTGTTTATTGAACTATATGTAGTTGGTAATTTATTTTTTTGCCAACAGATCCTTGTCATTTGTGATAGAATATTAATATTCAACAATTAATAATATTTTTTGCATTCCAGATGTTTCATCCATGGAAGATGTTCTATCAATGAAACCAAGGATTTGAAATCAAAATGTCAATTTCTATAGTTTACATGTATGTCAACAGTAAAAAAGAAAAAAAAAGTAAAAAGAAAAAAAAAAGAAAAGAAAATGTTATTCTAGAGGAGGGCTCAAATCTACTGAGGCGACCATAAAGAGGGTTCATATTTTGGTTAGGGTTGCAACAAGGGCTAAGGTGAGGAATAATTGCAAACTTTGACAGCAAAACCATTACTGCTAGAGAATGTTTCATAGTACCAAGCTTGAAAGTCGTACTGCAAAGAAGAAAAGCACATGGAAAAATGAAATGTTTTTTAAAATAATGTTTTCATTCTGTGATTGTTCTTTCTATCCAGGGCTTTGGGTGGTAACCCTCTCTACTGTGATTGTCACCTGCATTGGCTGTCAGACTGGGTCAAAGATGGGTTCAAGGAACCAGGCATTGCTAGCTGCGCCGATCCATACATCCTCAGAGGAAAGCTCCTCCTTACAGCGCCCTCTAAGAAGTTTCTCTGTACAGGTACGGGCCATCAGGGGTAGATGTTGAACTGCTAGAGGAAACTATATTTGTTTTTAATACATACGTTTACATGTATTATCATCGTAGGTAACCCCTCCCCCACCCCCCTCCCCCCCCCCCCCCCCCCCCCTCCAAAGAAAATAAAAGTAGAACATCACCCATGGTACTTGTATTTTTTCTCCATATTCTATATTGTCTTTCTATCATGATTATATAGATCTCACCAAGAGGGGGCAGTCTTTCAAATTGCTACATGAAGTGAATCCTATTCAGAAACTCTTATCAGGTTGCTTTGTGGTGGAAAAAATATTAAAATACTGTGAAATTTCTTTCTCAAAGTTTAGTTTGAAAGATCCCAAAGTGAAAGTATGATATCATTGTGAATGACAATCAGCATCAATATCCAAACATAAAGGAAGTTTAATTAATCTGCGAAATTTGATCTTTGTTGAACAGAGGAGCCGGACATCTCCATTCGTGCAAAGTGTGACCCTTGCCTCTCAGCCCCCTGTGAGAACGAAGGAGTGTGTTTGACCGACCCCATCGAGAGGTACAGGTGCCAGTGTCCGGCAGGGTTCAAAGGTCAACATTGCGAGGCGGAGGTCAACGAGTGTGACCAGAGGCCGTGCATGAACGGAGGGGTCTGCGAGAACTTGGCTGGTGGTTTCAGGTTAGTGAAGGGTTAAACTAACAGTATTAATATATTAATATACTAAAGAATATTAATGACAGATCTCATTAAAAACACTTTCTTCATCAGGATATGACTTGCATGCAAGGATATTACTTGCTTTTGTCCAGTTTGTTTTTAATTATTTGACTACTGAATTTTCCATTTCCCATTAAATGGTTCAGTTAGCAATAAGTGAAAGAAGTATAAGTCATTCAGTAACTACAGCGTGCATTTATCAATTTGGATCAAAGATTAATTCTATATATTTGTTTGTGTTGGGACAAATGGGAAAGTCGCCATCCACTACAACACAGACACATAACTGTTCCAGCCTATTTGAAGAACCCCATACCTATAGTGATTACAACTTTCAACAATTCATAACTTTATAACTTTTTGTCCGTTTTCATTTTAACTTTCTCTAGTCTACTTCTCTGATTTTCAGGGTTCGTTTAGAGCAGTTTGTTATCAAGGTTGGATTTCCCTTTAAAAAATGATTATTTACATACAGAAAATATACACTGTACAGATTGTTTGAGTCATGTGTGATGCAGTACTCATCTTGATCTTTGTTCTACTCCCTTAAGGTGTGACTGTTCTACAGGTTTCTCCGGTGACATGTGTGAGGTCAACGTCGACGACTGTAAGGCACATCTCTGTCTCAACAACGCAACCTGCGTGGATGGCATCAACAACTACACCTGCCGCTGCTCGCAGGGCTACAAGGGTAGGTCCACCAATGTAGAAGAGCAAATGAAAGATGAATATTTGAAAATACGAATGAAAGAATTTAGCATAAGATATGTACATGTAGTTATATATTAAGCTTTTGTATATACCACGTACAGACAGATTATTGATATAGATAGAATTGACTGACTTTGCTGACTTGCAATTTGCTTTGGGAATATCTGCCATTGCATTAGTTCAGGCAACCTTTAACAATGAATGCATCAGAGCAATAGGTGTTAATTGTGTCCATTTTTCATCTAAAATGAAGAACTGAAGTTATGTCTTTTCTATAAAGGAACCTCTTGATTGAGAGTCAAGTGAATGGACCAACAGTACTTTGACATGATGTTCAAAGGTTCATATCCAAAATCGACATCATTTTAAACAGTCTTGCCTACATAATCTTCAACCGGCCTCTCTTTAAATTGTTTTATTTCTCTGTCCCTCAGGTGACTATTGCGAAGTGGATATTGACCTTTGTCACCCCATGAGTGACCCTTGCCAAAATGGAGGTGTCTGCTTTGACCTTGGCCACTCATACAGGTAAGAAATTAGCTGAGCTTTTTTTCTTCATTGTAATGTTTCATGTTTTTCCAGTAATGTAGGGAGAAAAAAGAGTGCAGGTACTTGATTCAAGCATTTCTTCCAGCAATACAGATATGACTGATTTTGGCCTTTGATTCCTTTTTTGGTTTATTCAATTTGGAACAATTTTGTTTCAGCAGGAAAAAAACTACTCTTATAGTCAGAATTGAGAATTTTCCATATGATTAACTTCTCCAAATATGTTTTCTCAACTTCTCAACTGTTTACCTTAAATTCTCTTCCTGGCGCATTCTCTAAATTCTCACTATAAATTCCTCTTTTAAGTCCAAGAGAGTCATGTTCACTTATTCATGCCCTGGTACAAGCAGTCTCCTTTATTGACTAATATTCTGTGTAGAAATCTAATTTCAATAGCTGGTGCTATTTTGCTTTACATAACTAGACAGCATGTGATATAAAAAATTTCATGACAGAATGTGGGATGAAATTTAGATACACAGAAGATTGACAAGAAGTTTACCTACATCATTTTCTTTCAGATGCGAGTGTCCACCAGGCTACCGAGGGATCAACTGCACCGATGGTTATGAAGATTGCCGCACGCGTCCTTGTCTGAACGACGGAGAATGCGAGCAGGACGGAAACCAGTTTGCCTGCCGATGCCCACAGGGATACATCGGTCAGACCTGTGAGATGAACGCCAACATCTACATCAGCGACACCCCCTGCAGTTGCCTCAACAACGGACAGTGCTACGACAACAACGTCACCGACTCGGAGGAATGCCGCTGCTTACCGGGCTTCTATGGCACCAAGTGTGAGATTCCAACCAGCATGAGTTTCAGGTTAGGGCAAGAGGTGTACGTGCAGTACCCTGCACCTAATAATCCTCAGATAGTCAACTTTACTCTCATCTTTGCCACCACCATTGAGAATGGAGTCCTGCTTTACCTGGGCAACATCAACCACATCGCGGCGGAGCTGTTCCGAGGCCGTATCCGCGTCAGCTACGACGTCGGCAACTTCCCAGCTGCTACCATGTTCAACCAGAAGAAGTTGAACAACGGCGAGTTCCACAAGCTGCAGCTGGTCCTCTACAGGCGCAACGTATCGATGTCCATTGACGGTGGTCCCTGGCAAACCAAGACCAATGCAGGAGAAGAGGAGTATCTACAGGTGGACGAACCCATGTATGTGGGAGGCTTGCCAAGGCATCTGCAGAACTTTGCTGTTAATCAGTGGCATATACGCAATAGATCCAGTTTCCAAGGTGAGCGGACTATCGACTGTTACTAGGCATGAAATTGTTATTGTGTGGAACATGAGAAAATCATGACCTATAATAATCCTTTATCCTCTAAAATGATTTCATCCAGATCACCACTATAAAAGCTGTCTATAACCAATCATATTGCCCGTTGAAATTTTGCGAAAATAGCGCTATAAATTTTGCACACTGGAAACTCCAATCATGATACAAAATATACAACATGCATTGAAATTGTCAAAGATTTTATTTTGGGAAACATTTGCAATATTATTTCTGAAAGATGAATTGAAAAACAAATAAATTGAGAATCTCTCTCTCTCACACTAATTACCCTCTGTGTCTCTGTCCCTCTTTATCTCAATGGCTCTCTACATCTCCATTTCTCTGCATCTATCCCCTTGTGTTAATTTCAATCCTCTCTATATTATTGACACCTCCCTAACTCCCTGGCTGTCTATCGATCATGGTCATTTAATCCACCTTTCTTCCCTTTCATTCTTTCTCTCAGGTTGTATCCGAGCTTTCTTCGTCAACAATGAGCCCAAGCGCCTGAGTGATGCCTCTGATCGGATGAGCGTCAAGGAAGGCTGTCCGAACTACGACATGCCCAACCCCTGCCTTGAGAACAGATGCGTCAACGGTTTCTGCCACAACGTAGATGAATCCATGTACCGCTGCGACTGTCAGGACGGCTGGATGGGTACATTCTGCGATAGAGGTATGTTCACGGTGTTTCTTTGTTTAAAGTCCCATTGCACTACTTATAGCTACTTGCGCCCTTTATATAGTAAACATGCCTAATCGGTGCCTGTTGGTCCCCCATGATGCTCTTTTTCTTATGTTAATTGAGAGCTGATTTGATGAGATAACCACCTGTCAGTGACTTTGCAGGGAGGTCTAATCCCCCCTGGTGAAACAAGTACAGACGGGCTTTAAATAGGGTCCTTGTACCTGTAAATATGTTCATCTTTTTCTATTTGATGTTTGTTTGTGATACCTGACTGCTAAGAAAGCATTTGTATGCTTGTAACTAAGCAACTGGAGGACTTACAGCTTTACATCTTCTCTGAGGCACCTGGTGATGAGGATTAATAGTCCCCATTAGAGCAAATGTTGCATCACCTTTATATCCTATTGTAATGTGCCTTTCTTTTTCTTCTCCCTTACAGAAACAACATGCACAAGTATCAAGGTCAACAATACGTATGAAATGGACGGTTGCCAAACGCTACGGCCCATCCGGAACGCAACGTGTGCCGGTGAGTGCGGCCTATCGTGCTGCAAGCCGGCCCGAAGTCACATGAGGAACGTGAGGCTTCACTGCCCCGATGGCACGACTATCACGCAGGAGATCAAGATAGTGAGGAATTGTGCGTGCCAGGGTTGCGAAGGAGGGTAAAGGGAAGGGCGCCACCTCCCTTGCCTTACGTAACAACGATCTAGACTCGCGCACACCTCCTCCTCCTTTTACATAAGCAGCTAGCGTCACTCATGTACGATACTTAGAGTTGGAGTGAGAATGCCTCATGAACTGTTTATATATTTGCGTGACAGGCATCCTGTGACTCAAACCGAGGAACTTTTTGTGGCAAAGGATGAAAGGACTAGCATTGGAAGCAAATTGGCATCCACTGTGGTGATGCTCGAGGAGTGGAATTCACGGAATACTGGAAAAGTTGTACAAGGGGCTTGGAGCTGATGATCGAGGAGGACACTAGTACCCAATGAATTGCCAATATATATTGTATTATAATTATTTGTACACACTATATGCATGGGTATTGTTTTCACTGTTACCGAGGAGAGACACAATTCATCTATTGATACTGATCCCTCGGAGAGCCAGTGTTTCTGAAGGACTACTACAGCATTATTGCACTCATTAATTCTGGATAAAACCTTTACTCCTTAATTTGTTCTAAATACTCTCGTAACATATGTGTTTTTATCCGTTATTAAGGCCCTGAAGTCTAATTTGAGAATTGTGCAAATTTGTACACTATACTAAATGTTACACAAGCACAAGAAAGTATACATCTGTTTGGCCAGATTGTTCATTTCACTGAATTGCGATACTGAGGTGTGCACTTGATAACTTCTCTGTACCATGTAAGCGAAATATGTGCTTTTGGTGTGGAGTTTGAAACGGTTTCTCCTCGTGAACAGCGCTGAAGTACACAATTTACTAGTACCATTGTTGCACTATGTGTGGCAAGGGTTTATGAAGTATTAGGGGCCAAGCGGGTATATATAGAAAGGTGAAATAATTGTACATGTATATCAAACAAAAAAATTGAATGGTGTCACCGCATATTTGTATATTTATCTAGAATGTTTCTTTGTACATAAAGTGTAGCTTGGCTTTTGTGACGTCGAGCACAAAGCTGTTGTGTTGTTAATTGCCTCGTGTCTGTATAGATTTACAGCCATGATTATTTACTTGTGAATCAAGTATTTTTAGGGAATTCTCCGCACTGCCAGGGACCGTTTTTACATTGTTACTTACAACTCTTTTATTTGTGAAAATTGATAATTCCATGTGCTCATCAAAGTAACCTGTCATAAAAGATGATTGGCCTGAAACAAGAATCATTAAACGTTATTTGTCTCAATTGCACGAAAGTTGGAGTATCTAATATTTGAAATAGTCGAAAAATTAAACAATATGCTAACGTTTAATAATGTGAATATGAATATGTATACCAGTTGTAAATTCTATATGTGCCACTTGAGCAACTTCGAGTAATATTTTTGTTTTAAGATATATTTTTGCATTGTCAGGAAAAATTATGTGAATTTTGAAAAAGATATGCAAAATCTAATGATAGGTTCGCACATTAGTGTAAAATTGTTGAATGTTTGTCGATTTTGAATCCCTGTCTACTAGGGACATTAATTGTATTGAAGTTTGAGTGAAATCATACGATGAAAATCATGAAAAGAATTTATTGCTTGCACAATTTTTACCATTGTAGTAATTAATGGTTTCATAAAAAATAAAGAGAATATGAGAAGAAGGTAGATTTTCAAATGTGTGCATAAACTTAATGGGTAGGAGCTAATGCAGGATACACAAACATGTATGAATATGTAGTCCTCACTTTGTCGGTACATATGTGATATCACGGTTTTAATCCTAAAAGGTTTTCACACTAATTTGAATTGTAAAAAATCTCTGAATATTGGCCTTTTCAGGAAATGAAAGTGAAATACATTGCTGATAGTTTGTTTAATGCAACAGGCAAAGTGCTAGGACAATTCACTCCTCTCATTTGTAAAGGCTTACCCAAAATTGATTTAATTAATAAAATCTATTTAAAAACACACCTGTGCTAATATGTTTATTGCTTATATTTCATTTTGATGATTAGAATGTATTAGCGTAAGAATGATACTGGTGATGTACTGCTTGAAAGTGATAACAGGATTGGTTTATTAAATTAGAAAAAATAAACAAAATGTGGCGAGGGCATTTTGAAGATGAGATTCTACTTGTATGCATTTCAATTGTTGATATGATTCTGATTTTTATGTATTTATCATGTAAATATTTAATCATTTAACACACGATTAGATGTAAGTGATGATGACAATGCCCTTGCTTTCCAGGGAGTGTGTCGACAGAAAGTGAGTGCTGTATACCAAAATAAAACTATCAAATTGTATTCAATTGGTTAACATCATAGTAAATGTTTTTGACAAGTTTCAAATTTAATTGAAACCCCCTAATTTGCATTATTAATCAGACCAATACTGGCTATTAGTTCAGACTATTTACTTTTGAAATTATAACATTGTTTTTGACAAAAGTTGAATGATTTCAAAATGGCCCAGTAGACAGTTTTGAAGAACTTTCCAATATAATGTTCTTTCTTATGACATAGACAAAGTATAATTTGTTAATAAAAAACATATATACCCCTGAAAAATTCAGGTGAAATTCTGATCTTCTTCTAACTTTTCAAAATAATTTTTTTCTCTCATTTTATTCAAGACATATTCACCAAAAACTGGTTTGAATCAATTAAATTCTATTTAGGGTTTGTTTGTCTGTAATTGTTATACATAAGACATAATGGTGAAGATATAGCACTTCACCATGTCATGAATCATTTTGAATTTTCTCTTTCATGCCATCTCTAATACATGTATTGTATTGGTAAATTTATGCTACAAAAAGGCATAACATGTGGCCAAACTATTTTGTTCTAGAGAATTGCCAAACTACCTGAAAGATTTGTTGTCCTTCTAGAGTGTATTTTTTTCTATCCATTTCATAAGAAGTTAAGACTTTTCCAGTATATTCTAATTGCCAAAATTCCCCATTTAGTTTGATTTACATGGATGTGAATTGTCTTTATACTTTCTATAAGATTTTTAAGTCCACTTTGCGTGAGTATATGACCACTGTATTTTTGTGTGTCATTGTTTTGTTTGTATATCAGTTTTATATTCTACTTATTTATCAATTTCATATGCAACCTTTTAGATTTTTTTGAAAAGTACAAAGCTCTGTTTATACTCGTCATTTTGCATTATTAACAAATGGGTTTATTTTAATATTTGTATGTATATAGCATATTGGTTCATTGTGGATGAAATAAATCTTGATTTAATACAATTTTTCAAAGTCCATGTCCTTTTTATCACTATTATCGATGTCATTACTACTATTGTTATTGTACATCATGCCAGTGAGTTTTGTGACATAATTATTTTGTGGATAAGTTGTTCGGATACCCCTTACCATTATCATTAAATGATTATGCTCCTTCTATCATGTTGCATCTCAAAATCCAAAATCTATTTTTTTGTGGTTGTACTTTTACTGGTACTGAAACATTCGCTCGTTGATATTTTCACCCCAAAAGGTCCGGTTTTATGAATTTTTAACTTTGTAACTGTACTCTATGCTTGTTAATAGTATGCTGCTAGCTATTACCACAATCATGAAGACTATTAAAACAAACTAATGTAAACTGAAACGGTTGTTTGCCTTGTTGTATCTTTCCTGTTTGAACTTATGTATGTTTCTAAGATACATACAGAGTGAATGTGGTTAAGTTTCCATCTTTTTACTTTTCTTCCTCTCCATCTCTCTATCTCTATCTCTATCTCTCTCTATCCCTATCTCTCTCTCTCTCTCTTGATCTCTATCTGCCTTTTGATATCCATGTACAGTGCATCTCTCTATCTCTCACTTTCCCTCTCAATACATTTTTAAAAACCTCTGATGAGTGCGCCTTTTGGTAGCGAGAAGCACCCCTTTTCACTTTTGAAAAGTGCCCATTTTCCTTTTGCCACTAGGTGCCCCTCCCTCTTTCATATAAATGCCCCTTATCACTTCTGATCATTGACCCTAACCAATCTGTTAGATGCCCCTTTTTACTGTGACAAGTGCCCCTTTTCCTTTGGAATAAGACGCTTTGATCTCTCACAAATGAATATTCAGATAATCACACACATGCAACGGCAAAGTATGGTGCTGAAGCAGTATCTTGAATCACGAAAATAGAACATGTTGAAGATTATACAATGTAAGCGTATATACCAATGTCTACATTTTTTGTCCTGCTTTGAGTTTACCCTTTGTACTTCCACCTTTTCCCATAAAGTGCCCTTTTATGTTAATGCACCCCAATACCCACTTTAAAGGACGCACCGCCACCCCTGATGATAGAAGACGGGAGGAATTTTGGTCAGAGTGGAGCATGTTGAAGTCATCTATATAAAAGCAATAACTATGGGAGGGGTGTACGGGAGAGTGTCTCAGAGATGTTCTATTCATGTGAAAGGATTTGTGAAAGATACTGATATAAGCGGAAATAACGAACGATGAAGAGAAATCGAGGGAGGGGGAGAGAGAGAAGGGATCGAGTCAGAGAGAAAGAGAGGGGGAGTATTAAAGAGAGGGAAGGGGGTACGTCAAGGAAGGAGAGAGAATTCCTCAACTCCCGTCTCTCTCTCTCTCGCTCTCTCTCTCTCTTACTCTCTTCCTCTCCTAGTCTCTCTCTCTCTCTCTCTCTCTCTCTCTCACTCTCTCCCTCTCCTAGTCTCTCTCTCTCTCTCTCTCTCTCCCCGGCCTCTCTCTCTCTCGATCACACTCTTCAAGTCTCCCACTCGGCCCCCTCCTTCCCATCTCTTCGATTGGTTTTCTCGAGAAAAGGAAGAGAGAGAGAGAGAGAGAGAGAGAGAGAGAGAGAGAGCAGCTTAGAGAGAAAACGAAGATCACCGAGTAACTTTAAAAAAACAACAACCAGGAATGATAAAAAAAGGTGGGATATTCGTGAGAGAAGAAGAGCAGGCCGGGGAGCTACATTAATATGTATAGAGAGAGTAAGGGAAAGGAGGAAGAAAAAAGATCGAGATTGTGGGAATAGGACAAAATTTAGTGAAGTAATGAGAGCAATCCAAAAAGACCAAGTCAATGTTTCGTATTTTCATTTTCATTCTACAAAGTATCAATCCTTCTCTATATTAATTCTAACAGTCTTCTATACTATATGTACAGAGTGAGTAAAAAAAAAGTTTACACCTAGACAATTGCTAATTATTTAAAAATTATCTATGAACAGTAAATTATTATACATCTTATGAAAGAGTGTTTTATCCCAAATCATTTGGTACCATTTTTGTGTGGTATGTGTTCACGCTTGGATGAACACGAGGAATTATTTGAGAGAGTGCAAAAATCGACGGCTTGCGCCACTGAGTTGCTTATGTGATGTTTAAATAAAACAATTTGGATTTGGGTATTAATTCGGTCTTTCCAGATCCAAATAACATCCCTAACAAAGTTAATCATGCCACACATATCAAATATCAAATATCAACAAACATTTGTGCGCATGTGTGTGGGTAGTGTGACTTTGCCCTTTGCAAAAAGCATATGCAATGCATTTCATTTGATACATTTAATTCATTCTCTCACTCCACTAATCCCAACATAATACATACTGTACGCATAACTTTGGCGCAAGTCGATTTTTGCACTCTCGCAAACAAAGCCTCGTGTTCATCCAAGCGTGAACACATACAACACAAAAATGATACCAAATGATTTGGGATAAAACACTCTTTCATAAGATGTAAAATAATTACTGTTCATAGATGAATTTTAAAATAATTGGCAATTTTCTAGGTGTAAACTTTTTTTTGACTCACACGGTATACATCAACGGCTGCTTTGTTTATATATTCACATAAGAATAGTTTCATATGATAAAAGGCATTCAACATACTTGACAAGATATACCATAAACAAAAACTTTAAGCGGGAACTAAAAATGAGGCCCATGATATTAAAAAATATATTCAGAAAACTGATTATATAGTTCCCCCCCCCCCACGCCCTCCGCTCCCCACTCTCAAAACAAATGAACAACATAAACAAACAGAAAAACAAAGAAATAAACATAGAATAATCTCGATCCCCACCCCTAAAATAAAATCATATAAAGAAAACATTATGTGTATAGCCGTGCATTGTTCTTCAATTTCTTCTCTCTATCTGCATTCTTATACACGTCACAAGGGCTGCATATTTCTGGAAATTTCTTTCGCAAAATATCGATATCGAGTATCGGGTTGCTGCGATTTGAACCTCTGTGACTGTGTGAACTTTTGTATTTTTAGAGTTAAGAACAGTGAAGATGAGGGCATTTCCAGCGGATTGGAAAGTTATTTGTGTAATAGTTTGGTGTTTAAATTTGACAGGCAGAGTTTTGGGTAAGTTTGAATTCTTTATTTACGGCATGTCGTAATATTATCAACTTGAGATTGTCTGAAATCTAAAATCGGTCTAGAAACATCATTTTAAGCATATGGGACTGCCTATACCTTACGCAGTGTTGACCGGTAGGGCAGGGGAGCGAACACGGAGCGTGAGCCTCTGAACTCTGCTCTAGTAGTACGGTTAGACTTCATGCATTGTAGGAGTGGCCGAGGGCCAGGGCTAGTAGAAGTAGGATGGCATGGTTAACGAAGTAATATAAGGGCCAAAGCTATTTTGAAAGTGTACATTACTAAATAAATGCCTCTTTCTCTCAGTCATAGTCTAGTCTAGACTCTACAAATAACTTTGAAATGAATATTTATTAGACTAGATCTAATTATGGGTCGAATTTAACCCAAACTGTGGACATTTTTCACTCGAGTTATAGACCTACTGCTTTGCTTACCTTCCACATGTTGATCCTGATGATAATGAGCTAACGGCTTATAACGCAGTAACATGCAATTTACATTATGAAAATGCTGACTTTTGCCTATGGTGAGAGTTCGCGATGTTGGTTCTCACTTCTGCCGCAAACGCAACATACATGTAGGCCTACATCATGTGAATACATACGGTATACGCGAAAAAAAACGCTGATTTAGTGTTGCCAATTTGATCCCTACTTTATAACTATAGCGAGTAGTGTAAAAAGGCGCATGCAGCAGGGATTTCCCTAAATTCAATGGACTCGGTGCGTGCGCCTTTGCCCACTGAAATAATTGCTATTATCGTAAAGTAATTTAATATTTATTGCAAGACGAATGTAGTGATTGATATGTGTTTTTAATTTATCTCAATTCGAGATAATCATTGCCCATTGGCAATAGATGTACATGTAGATTGATGGATGCATTGAGCCAGCAGAAATTTGACTTTTTTTATAACTTTGTAACATACATGTAGCTTTAATTTAATCAGATAGGGGTCTAGATTTCTATTTTGTAAACACAGCTAAAATCTACATGTACTTTTTTTTTTACTTCATTGTCTTGACCTCTTTCAATTAATTTTCAGGACACGGAGTGAATGAAAATTTGGTATTTAGGGTGCTGAAACCAAGCCACATTGCTTATGATTTCACCATCAGGCCTGCCAAGAACTTTGGAGGAATATTTGTAAGTACCTACATTATATACAAAGAAACAGTGAGAGGAAGAAAATATTTACAAAACCAGATCATCATTAAGCATCGTTATGATTGAATGAAAAGTATGGTCTATGCATCTTATGGTGCCATCTAGTTTTCAAACATGTATACAATAAAAATGATTTGATGTATTTTAGTCTTTATTTTCTTCATACTCCTTTTGGCGTTGGCCCATAAATGTTGGGTTAAGTCTTTTGATTTTGACTTTCTATATTTTAGGTGTATAGTAACTGTGGCAAATTGTATTTGACAGTGATTGGTACACTTTAAGCCCAGCGTCAAATTTAAATTTGAGTAGAATATGACCCTACATGTTAGTTACTACATAACATGTGACATGAGGCTCAAACACCAGTATCAACGTTTATTGTAGGCAAGGGGTTAATTTGACTATTGCTAATATTGGAAATATGGTATTTTTCACTCTAGAATTTCTTCTACAATGGAATCCAACTGGTTGCTGCTGATCCTATAGAAGCGTGTGGAGAGATCCAGAATGCAGAGGAAACCAGAGGAGCGGTCGCTCTTGTAAAACGAGGGTAAGCACCTATAAACATCTACTATTTATCACTGGTTTTGGAGATTCAGTGCATTTACATTTTCATTACCGTAGTGTTCTCATGCATGCAGTGAATGTTACTAAACTATGAAAGAGTCCCTTGTTTTCTTATATTTCTGTGACAGGTTGGCCAACTTATCTCTTATGATGAATTTTTCTCCTAATTGTCCCATTTTTCTTATATTTTATTTTCATGAAAAATCTACCTTTCTTTTATGAATAATTTTCACACTAATTGTCCCTTTTTTAAAGGATTTCCTGGTCATGAAAACATCTACCTTTCTCATATGAATTATATTTCTCTAAAATTTTATGGTTGCAAGAACTTTAAGTTGCAAAGTTTGTATCTCTATATGTTTTTCAATTATTTATCACAAAATTACTTCTGAAGTGTAGTTTTGAGCACTTTTAGTGGTAAACCTTTTTTGACTTTATTCAAAAAGGTTACTGGTACTCATATTAAGCCAAATTGAAACAAATCATTCGATGACCAAAAAGTTGAATTTCAGGCTTCAAAATTGTATCCTCCTTGTGGTATTTTGGTCCTATTAATTTATGATGTATTGAATTTTGTAATCCTTATGCAAATATTTGCAGCATCATTTTTAAACATGTTAGGGATCCAGTACTTCTTGTCCTTATACATTAATTTCCATGGTTACCATTAAAATACAACTCATTTTCCCCTTTTCTTGCAGGGAGTGCTCATTTTTATCCAAAAGTATTGTCGCCGACAGAGCTGGTGCATTGATGCTGATTATCTTTGATTCTGATGAGAAAAATGATTACAGATTCATTGACATGATTGACGATGATACAAAACGGTCTACGAGTATTCCTGTGGCTTTCATGCAGGGAAGAGATGGGTAAGTTTATACGGGTAGTCAAACACGTTAAATCAAGCTTTAAAGGCATTGTTCAACAATGTTAAATCTGAGATGCACTGCCCTACGTGTTATCAGTGTCTGTGGTATGGCGTAATATTGAAGCCCTAAAAAAATTGCGCTTCAAAATGATCAAAAAGTGCCTCAAAAAAGTAAAAATCTTTGAGTGACCGGTTTTTACCATACTCGTATTCTCCAATCATAAATATCTTGTAAAAGTTGTGGGGTTCCTGACTGACCTAAAGGTTTATAATTATCATTGCAGCATGAGCTACATTCATGATTTTGTAATGTAAACACTTAGGTGGCTCGTTAGGAATATCTTTTTATATGAATTATTATATTTCAATCGTCAGCATGGAACCGCATGTACATTACCTGGTGTCAGCGCCTGTTGTTTAATGTTTGTCCGACCGAGCACCAATGCAATTTGCATTCTGTCTATTGAGGTACAATGATATGTAACAGGTGAATGCAATAGCCCATTGCTAGCTAAACATATATACATCCCGAAAATGGTCTATTTATTATGGATATTCACCAGTATGTTTAGATATTTATACCAAAGATCGATCAACATCGATTGCAAGTCCTCTAATCAAGCGGAAGTTTGCAGTCCCCTATCCCTTATGTACAAAGTAACGATTAATCACATTGTTGTTACAGTTGGCTCTCTTATCCTGTTTCTGTTTTGTTTGCGACGGTATACTTAGGATGTACTGTACTTAACTAATGTTTTGATTAGTATGGTTGTGTATGTGCTATGGCAGGAGAGATGTTACACATTTGAGATTTCTGCTTGAAGGCTACACTGGAGGTAGACATAACTGTTTCCTCCTTGAGTAGGTTCTATTCTGCTGCTGTCCTGTGGAAGAATGAGTAGTTGTGCACAGTGCATGTCTTTTTTAATCAGTACCCTTTGGATTTGTTGCTGTTCCCTCTAGTTGCTCTTCCCACTTTGTTGTTGATTTGAATGTATGTGTCAGCCTCGATTCACACTTCTTCATTCATGATCCTGTACAAGAGTATCCAGGGAAACTTTTAAACCGAGAAGTTGTTTCATATTCAAAATATATTCTCTACCCATGGCATGGGAAATACCTAATGAGTGCCACTGTCAATGTAAGCTGAGAAAATTTATGTGTAGATCAAAGGCAATTAGACATGTAAAAGATGGGCTTCTATGCATTCTAGCTTGTCTTAGTTGTATAATTTACAAGAATGTTAAGCGAGCTGTGGTCATGTTATTTCCATTTTGCCTCAACATTTCCCTCTTTTTTTGAGGTGGTGTTTCATGTGTGGAGGAGGCTTAAACTTAATACAAAGTTTTGGTATGGGGTCATGAATTTGGGTCAAATGACCATTGGAAGCTATATGCAATTTTACAATATTCAATGATCATTGCCGCGGTTGAGTCTAAAGTGATGAAATTGTAAATAATGAATTCTTTTTTGTTGTACAGCTCCCTCTCAAGATTGATATAACTTTAGCTTGTACTATCCATCCAATTTTCAAAATTTCTCAAAACTTTGCATTATCTTTAAATATGATTATAATTTATTCAATATGATAATCTTTCACCCAATGCAGAAATATGCTTGAACATTACCTCATGGAACACAAGGGTCCCATTGAGATAGCCATTCCAGTCAACACAACCGGCATTCCATACTCACACCTTCACAGGCCTCCGTGGACGCTCTGGTAACAAAACAGATCCGATTGCTTCCAAAAATGGGCTTTCAAGTTTCAACCTCAGAGATTCTTTATGTAGAAATTATATGTGAACTTTTTCTTATCTAGTTGAAGTATTGGAAGATGGCTATGTCTCTATAAGAGCAGTTCACCAGAATAGTGACCTTTGACCTTGTAACTCATACAAAGTTGTGTGAATAGAAGAAGAAATTATGCAAGATGAAATGCTTCCAAATATGTTCTGCTTTAATTTTTAATTTTCGTAGACTGCCCATACAGGGTGATATCTGTTAAATGTTTCATTTCATGTGGGTTGTTGCACTCTTTTTACTTGGCTCCTTAAGGTTGTGTCTCCATCTTTATTTTATGGTGTCCTGTAAAGGCCAATGTAACAGTTTTTAGTCAGACATTGAATATGTTTGCAAAACAAAACAAAACAAATTGAAAATACCTTCAGAAATCATCTTAAAGACTAAATATCAGGCTTTCTTTGCATAATCCATTTCACCATCTGTATCTCGAAAGGCATCAATAGCTAATTCTGTAATACATGTAGAAGAGATTGTAAATAACAAAAAATTAGAAGATGACCTTACAAAACTAAAAGATAAATCCCTTAAAATTGATTGTCTTCCCAAGTGCTACATTATAAAACACATTTTCAGCGTCGATTATTACAATCTCTTTATTTCAGCTGAATAAGTGTAATATCATATTGGAATGTATTTTGTATAGGAGTTCATAAATCTCACAATGTAACCCCCCCCCCAAAAAAAAAAAAGGGGGGGGGGGGGATGGAGGAAAAAGACTCTCCATTAATTCTCATCGTTTATACTTTAAACATACTTCTCTGTAAAGATTTAGTTTTTCTGTTAAAGAGTAAAGATTATCTTGTCAGTAAAGATTATCTTATCAGTAAAGAATTGTTCTGAGTGATAATTGCTGAGCCTGTGCTCAATCTCAATTATCACTGAGCTTTGAAAACCCTCAAAATTTAATGTTCTCTGTAAAAAGTATGTAAATTATAGGTCGTCACTTGGCCTGTGGCACAGAGGGTAACCAAAAATTGATAAATAGGGGCTGAGCCCCGCCCCCTCCCCTGAATTGGTGGTGGTGGTTAGGGGGGGGGGGGGCTGTGTTGTTTGTCTCATTGAACATCCTGTCTTTCTGAAATGTTGTAGATTGTTTGATTTGTTAAGTTTACCAGCCTACAAGATAGGCTACATTAATAGACAACATTTTGAAGAATGATTAAATGTTTATGTAATTGCACTTATGTGGGGAATTTGAGCCAGAATGAGGATATGTATTTTAAAACAACCTCAATCTTTTCATCTACCCTCAACTCGGCTGTGGATTGTTCATGTGCCTTGAATATTATGCAATATGATTAGGATGACCGCATATTAGAGACGAAATGAAGTGTGAAAAATAAAGGAATAAAGAATTGGTTAAGGGGTACATATATTTTTGGTGCACATTTCCTACATTATAACTGCTTTTAATACATGGTAGAATAACTTTTGCTTTATTTTTTTCTGCTTCATGTGCATCAATCTTTTCTATTCTTTGCATTTTACGCAGATGAATTGCTCATTTAAAGTAAACATTTCACGCTTATGTTTTTCTTTCTTCATTCTTCCATAATTTTACACATGTTGAATATATTTGTTCCATTTGTTCATTTGTGATATAAATCAATATCTTTATATTCCATTTTATTTAAATTTTACTTTCAGTATTTCTTTGTCGTCTGCAGTTCAACAACAGAAATATGGGGTTTAAATTCTATTCTATTTGTATATCGGTGAAATTTGTACAAAATAAAAGGTTGATTTCATACTTGAAAAGGATTCTTTTCTGTGAGTTCTATGTGAATATTGCATAGATTATATCGATCCAATGTCTTCCAGTTTTCAAAAGTGTGTTTGAGATACAATGGTTCTTTTATTTAAGTTGGATTTAATAGGAAAATAAATGTTTAAATTTACGTAAGTGTCATAAATTCAGCTTCAGTTTTGTTTGTTATTCAGGCCTGTTAGAAAGTTTGTCTCAAGTAAGTTTTCAAATTTCATGTGGTTTGTTAATGGAAATCTTATTACTTTGTTAAAATGGTTTAAAGCTTATGTATGGTAATTGCATACAATTTTACCAGCTCATGTGTCATGTTTTTTCTAATTATGCAGCGGTTGCAAAAGAATTACAGAAGTTTATTAATTGTTTTGTTCTGTTAAACAATTACTCAGGTAGCTGGAGAAAAAAAAGAGTTTAAGTAATTCATCTTGTATTTTCTTGTTCCATTTTTCTAATTCAAAAGTACTTAAAAACATCATTTTTTTCCAACATGAATGCTATTTGTATGTTAAACTTCTTCTTCAATTTTGAAATAATCCTCACATTCTTTGACTTTTTAGAAAGAGTTCAATGATATGATACTGCAATAAAATGCTACTTCAATAAAGTGCCATGACATTTTGATTTTTAAACAAAGTGTTCCAGTGCAATGTTGTGCAGGGTGAAAGTTTATGGTTGTCTGTGGCCATTCGATCTCTGACGGTATATGGGAGACTCGGACCATAGCTAGGGCCATGCTCGGACTCGGTATTTGTGTTAGTGACACTTACATGGTGTATTTTTTAAATAAATTTGATGGTCGGTCCATTAGGATTCTGAAACAATTGCATCATTGGCGTATCCGGGGTTATCTTCCGGGTGGGAGTGGGGACAAAATTCCTAAATATTTTGCCTACAGCAACAAAATCAATACACAACAAACAAACAAAAACACAAAAAAACAAAGAAACAAAAAAACAGATGAAAACAGCATAATTTTGCCTGGTCCAAAGTTTTGGCACACAAACAAGATGTATGTACTTTAGGTAACCCCCTGGATCTACCACTTTATCATTGGATCCTGGTATATACTGCCAATGGTGATACTTTCTTGATGTTTGGATGAAGCGCCAGTAAGCTAGATATTTGACATGTGATTATAATGTGTGACGAAGAGCGCAGACAGGATCAATCATAGGCGGAAAAAACAGGTGAAGGCGTATGTGATGGGGAAACGTGCGGGGAAAGAGGGAAGAGAGAGAGAGAGAGAGAGAGAGAGGGAAAGAGAGAGAGAGAGAGAGAGAGAGAGAGAGAGTGGGAGGCTAGAAAGGGAGGGAAGGCGGGAGAATGGAGGAAAGATAGAAATGAAAAAAAGATGCAGGAGAGAACTAGATGAAAAACAGTTAAATGAAAGAGAATAACCAAGAGAAGGAGATAAACGCAGACAGGGGGCGGGGGGAATGGCACAACGACAGTGCTTTAATTTCCGAAACTACCGGCAGAAAAATGCGGATGGGCCCTTTCTATTAAACTGCGTTCATAATTTTTCATTTACACGTTATAATCGAGAATTATAAGCTATATACTGTGCATTTATGACACTGCATTTTAATATGGTGACAATTTCCGCAGATACATCATTTGTCTTTACACTACTATATGGGGTCGCACTCGAACATTATTGGGAAAAAAAAGAATCACTAAAAATTGTATAAATCCCGGGTATAAATCAAACCCTCTTCCCATTATTTCGAGAGAAAAAAAAAAACCCGGCATATTCTCAATAGCCTATTTTCATCACAATCCTTCGCGCCAGCCTTTCTCAACGATCCGTCAAAAAAGAGTGCTTGAGTCTCTCTATGGCTTGAGTGGATTAAACCGTTAAAAATGAAAGGTGCCTGGCTGCAAATGCCAAGCCAAATATGTCAATGTCAAAGACCTGGAATAGCGATCCTTCCGATACAATGATGTCATTGTCAAGTCAGTTCAAATTCTAATAGGACTCCTCGATCGCGAGTGCATCCCTCCAGCGCATCCATGCATCCAAGCATGTATCCAGTCGCCACGCGCGCCACCATCCATACGTCTTCAATAGACATAAGAACGAAGCTAGAACGAATCGGGAACATTTAGGCTGAACGGCCCTCTACTGGCCGTGTCAGAGAGAGAGCTCAGACACCAGCGCAGCATCGAGCCAATTTACTCCATCGCTCCAGTATTGCAAATCAGTGATTGCAACCGCACTGATGAAACGTCGTTTGGACACCGGACACCCGCAATTAAACGATCCTCATCTAATGTTGTCAATGTCGGAATTTCTTTTGAGTTTGCAAAATGTGGAAAAGATGAGTTTACCGCCTTCGACTGTCGTCTGCGATATATAGCCATAGCAGTAATTAAGCGAACATTCCTTGAATCCTTACTGAAACCTAGAATTGATGGATGTGGCTTTGCTTTTATATATGGATTTTCTAAATAATTGCAGTTGTTAACTTGTTTTTGTATCAAGTCCATGCGATTCTGACATTGCATTTATTAGTACCAGACGCAACCCTGGGTAAGTAGGCCATGTATTAATTCTTTTCTTCCGGTTTTACTTCGTTTTGTTTTGTTTTCCTATGCTTTCCGGGTTTTCGCCTCCTTCCATATCTGAATTATTTACTGTATACTCTATGTTGAAATAATTGTTACACATATCATGTATATATACATTGTGTTTTATATTGTGCTGTTGAGAAGGAAATAAATGTTAATAAAATACAAAAATACAAAGTAGTAAAACAGTACTCAATGCGAAAGACATTTTTTGGCATAATTATGACAAATAACATTTCATATTTCTAACTCTCGTAGCCTAACCTTATTAAATATCGGCGTCTTAGATCTTACTTCTTAGACACAGACTGTTCAACTTTCTCTTTTGTCAATTCTATCGAAGTTTCAATGTGTTACGCGTTTTGTATATCTGATTCATTCCATCAAGAATACACAATTATTTCTGGATTGATTTGTAGAAAATTCACAAAATTAATTATTATCTTTTATGACTCGTTTATTGATTATTTTCAGTAGCCTAGCGAAACGAGCGATTCCGGAATCTCGTATCTTATGGACTCTGCTCTCATGATCTGCATCATATAATAACCATTTTCTTTATTATTGTTCAGCCATGCATGCATACGATTGCCTGTGGATGAAGCTTATGTGAATAAATGCTTTAAAAAAAACCCAGATAAACAATCAAACATATAAGAAGTGGATATAAAGTACCGTATTCTATCATTCGTTTATTTATTTATTTATCTATATATTTATTTATATATCTATTTATCTATAGTTAAAAAAAGTAAAACTATAGGCCTACGATTATTAAATTTACAATCAAGTATATAGTTTATTTTGGCTATTTCCGTTTATCATCACACGGGAATGTACCTCTATTGCACAGCCTATCAATTAACATGCATGATAAATCAATTCTCTGAAAATTATGATACCGATTGTTTACGCTTATGTTATTTTATTGCCATTTTTACTGTGTATGCAGAGGAAGATAACAGCGTTGAAGTGTGTTATGGTTATCACGGTAATATTGGTGTAAATCACCTAGTCATATATTTTTAGAGCTGTTTATTTTATAAGTCATTGTCTTGCGAGCTAGCCCTAATCATTTTCAAGTACTGATGATATATTGCCTGGAAATGTTCCTGGTTCATTATGCTTGTACATACAAGCTTCCGATTCGATTCTTTCATTTTTAAAGGCACACTGTCCTACTTGTAGCTACTTGCTCCCTCTATATAGAAAACTTCCCAAATAGGTGCCTGTTGGTCCCCCATGATCCTCTTTTTCTTATGTTAAATGAGAGCTGAGTTAATGAGATAGCCACCTGTCACAGTGACCTCGATGGCTCACTGGGTGGTCTAATCCCTTCTTGCTGAAGTAGTAAAGCCTCCCTTTAAGATGATTATGCAAACAAACCATTCATTCATTACGAGGGTGCCAAATACGTTATATATTATTTTTATACAAGTCATGTTCTTACTTATTCTTTATTGCTGTTATGAATATATGTTTATGACTTTATTATTATTATTATCTTATATATATTTTTAACCTATTGTTCCTCATTCTGTTTAACAGGGCCTCATGGAAGACCACCACAATTTGTGATAATGAGTCATCCTGTCTAAATATCAGAAATAAATAAATAACTTTGTTTTCTTCAATTCTTTTAACACCCTTGTGCTACCGTAGGATTAGATCATTAGATACAAAAATATTTAAAAACATGAATGTTATCCATGTTATATACCCAGTTCCTTTAAAGGTAAAGACCAGTTATGGTCATGCGATTGCATTGTGAAAGAAACGTTGTGGAATCGATCAGAAAAGGTCGATCATCTAACATCTAGCATCTGCTAGGTTCTGGAATCTTCAAAATGATAAGAAATTTGGCCCATTCTTCATAAAGTTACAAGCACTATACACAGAAAGATGTATATGGGACTACCCTATATCTCTCACAGACCATGAGAGAAACAAATTTACCAAATATATGAATTAGTAGGCGGTTTCGCGGCAAATTTTTTGTCATCATGTATTAGTCAAAACATATTCTTTCACATGATTGGTAATGAGAGCTTCCATTTCATTTTTTGAAATTGGGGCGTTTCCAATACTGGTCTTTACCTTTAACTTCAGGTTCACCCCATTGACTTGCAAAAGAAAGGAGAAATAAAAGGAGGGAGATAGGGAGAAAGAGAGAGAGAGAGAGAGAGAGAGAGAGAGATGTCAGACAGGGAGAGAAAAAGAAAGACAAAGAGAGATTGAAAGCCAGAAGCGACTGAGTAAGCCCAACACTCTATCTTAGAATAGAATAGCCTTCCAGCAACAGTAGTGCCTGCATGCTGACAGTCCAGAGAACCTTTACAGAGACTCCTCCTGAGGCATATAATGCACTTATCCTATTAAACCTCATTTATCTTCCTCACACCTCTTGCTATCTTCAGTTCATCTTCGTGATATGCTGCATAGCCCTTCGAGGATCACTAGAATAATGATATGATAATAATTTCATAAAGAAAAGGAAAGGGAGAACAAGAAGAAAAACAAGAAGAAGAAGAAGAAGAAGAAGAAGAAGCAGAAGAAAGCGAGAGAGAGAGAGAGAGAGATAGAGAGAGAGGGGGAGAGAGAGAGAGAGGGGGGGGGGGGGGGGAGAGAAAGAGATCACAAGAGAGACGAAAATGGGGGAAGAAAGAAGAGAAGAAGATGACGCAATCACCTTTCCCTCGATAGCTCCATTCCTCCATCCGGCGCCCCCCCCCCCCCGGCCGCTATACCCCACTGCCCTCTCATTGACCAAATTCACGCTATACGCCATTCAATACTCCAAAAATAGAGGAAGGAAAAGGGCACTCACATATCCGTTCACAAGATATACAAAGCTCGTATCAACTCCAAACATCACAGCCTCATGTCATTGGTACATGACATGCAAAAAGTTCGAACTACTACATAATCTGCTTTTGTAAATCGTCCAGCCTTACATGGTATTTTCGAGTGTCCAGATTCCCAGTGCTCTTCTAGTGTTTTCACTGTCCGCCTCCATCTTGTGCTTAATTGGCGATCAATTTCTGTGAAGTGTTCATTTATTCTGTTTTTTCCAACTCGACAGCCAACTGAAGACTGATTGCGGCTATAGACGGTGCACCGGACTTCGACAAATTCTGAAGGAGGACTTCACACATAGCTCGAGGCGTGCAAACTCTCACCAGTGCTTCAATTTTTCTTTGAAAGCCCAATTAATTTTAAAAGTTTCAACTATAGTACCGTTATATTCTGCGAAATCATGGCTAGGTGAGTATTTTATATACACATTACTAATTCTATTATCCGAGTGTTTTTAACCGAGTGCAGTTTTCATTGCTGCCGATGCCTGCATTTTGCTGTGAAGTAGTATCAGCTAGGCGTCAAGGGAAAGATTTTATAAGAGACGGTTCAATTCAACTAAAGTTCCTATAGTTTAGCCGTTTGCCACAAAATATGGGGTTTATAGGGCCCTTTGAACCCCATTTTCTGCTGGCTGTGAAGATAAATATTTGCCTGTTTTTATGAATTTGTTTTTGTTCAATACCACAATAAAGATTTGCAGACAGACTACAATCGATTCGTTTAATTCAAATGGGAATTGACTCCGTGAATGTAAACAAAGAAGAATATGTAAACACTTATATCGGAAATTCAGACTACAGACGGAAACAGACCAAGATGCATTGATTTAAAAAGGATTTTGCCGGTAGGTCTGTAATCACAAGTTTGTGTTTAGAAATTTTGATTTCCCCGACTGTATAATTATATGTTTCAAATGAAAACGGTCACAAAATGAATAATATTTATTTTTAAAAAATTATATAATTATCTTTCAATTCTATTTTAAGAGAGATTTTCACTCTTTTTGGGTTTGTTTGAGGTTTGCACGATTTCTGTAATATTTGTTTTGGTCATACTTCAGTTGTGACTGCGAACCAAATTCACATATCTCATAAAATATAAGAAATTGATTTAAAAAAATAGGTTTCTGATGAAGCAATATTATCGACTCTATCAAACTTATTTTTGAAGCAGCTAATTATCAAGTGTGATTTATGATTGCATTCAAAGCATCAACATCCAGTGAATAACACTAATTATATAGGTAAATGCAAGCTACCACTTAACGGATTTTAGTATATCTTGCCATTGTATTAATTCAATGGCTTTCCTCTTACCTGGCAGCCAACTGATGCACTCAGAGGACCTCCAGGAAGATTGTGCATTTATAATTGACATTTTCTTAATATTTGTTTCCTCATATTTACATTGTTATATTTTTTGTGAATTGCCGAATAAATAATAAATTAATAAATAAAAAAATGGCTGTAATCTATTAAAGGTCCCATAAAACTAAGTAGGAAGCGAAATGGCAATTTTGATGTCAATATCCTTTGGTTATAGAACCCCGTCTTATAAATAATTGCGATTGATCCTAATCAATCGCAAGTTCTCTAATCATTTGTTTTAAAATCTTGTTCAGCACGTGAAAAAACAGACATGGCAATAATGATTAAATAACTTGGTACTGGCATAAATCCTACACAATCGATTACAATTTGTTTTTGGTTTACGAATGTACATAGGATACGTTTTCTTTCAAATGAATTCTGGAGCATAACGAATGTGGTCAGAATTCGTGCAATAATTTAAAAACAAAACATACAGCTTGTACGATCCAATGTAATTCAAGGCGTTCAATGTCGAAATATGTATATAAAAGCTGGGAGCTAAATCTGGTATCAACTTTCAGAACAATGCATAAAGCCCAATTTTGTAATACTTGTAACTGTTTGATTAAAATTATACCAGCATTATACCATACGACGAAACAGTAATCAAAATGAGGTTGAAAGAGTACTTTTTACAATATGACAACAGTTTTCTTGTTCACAAAAAGCCTAATTCTTTTTAAACAATGTAAATTACAAATTATATTTTTCTTCTCAGATGCAGTATGGGCGTCCAAACTTAAAGAAGGTGTTACCATGAAACCTCTGGATATTTACATTCATCAACCCGTTTTAAATACTTTACATCGATAAAAACATGAGCTCTTTGAAAATATGATAACTTTTTCTTTGACCCAAATAGCATAAATTCACATTTCTTTGTATTTAACAACAATTCATTACACTTCAGCCACTTTGAAATCAATGATATAAATGGCTCTCTAATGTCACCTTTTAGGAACATGCGGAAATGAATCCCAAAACTTTGACGCCTAGAATTATCTTATTTTAACGTATACATGATGTACAGGAAATGACCTGACTGGGACAGATCTATTTTGAACTGACTTTAGACCATAATAAAAACAATTCGAACTTGTACCATTGCCTTTTGACGCCACTTTATAATGCACTATCATAACCGGTTTACCTTATAAAACCACAAATGTCATTATTGACGTTGTGATAATTTTTTTCTCCACATCTGTACATGCTTAAATGTTCGCCCCCGCGGAACACGGCGACATGTGTCTATTGTTACGTCATAATGATTTTTGGAATTTTCCACTGCAATCTGACAACCACGAATGTTTCCCCAAATGTAGCGTACTCACTTTATTAAGGGTAGTCGAACTCTACTCTTTCATTGGTCATCATAATTTTGATACCAGGGATGCCATCGCTCAGTTTTGGAGTTGAATTCACTCTAAAAATGTAAATGACTTCTTTTCTGATAGTGGATTCCACTATGTAGAATGTAGAATTCCACTCCAAACCTAAATGAGTCCTGAAAGAGTGGATTTCCACTACCGTCTATGTAGAGTAATGTAGGCAGGTATGGGGAAATCTTAAATAAAACTGACATTTATTTTACAACATTCCCTCAAAGTGGAGCCAGATGTAGTCTCAGCGGAACAACCGTCGATATCTGAGTCATTTCGGTCTAAGTATCTTGCTGCTTTGTAAAGAATTACAATAATAACATGTATAATCATGTATTATTAAACAAACAATGGTTTATAGGTCGGGAGCAGTCTTAAGTGGGTACTTATTATATAGGGACACAATACAATTTCGATCTCAAGTACCTCAAGTTTCCTCTTTCCCCGGGCCCTCAAACTGTTCACGTGATTGAAAATGAATTAATGTTCATGTTATTTTAAACTTTATGCCTACTTAACCGTCGAGAGTTTATGGCGTAATCATCTATGTCGCTCAAATTGCATAATCATGATAGCGATTATGTTCTGATGATAGCTTTAAAATATGAATTTACATCACACACTCGAAACGTATATTTTCATATTTGAAGACAAATATATTTTACACAATAATTATAAGACGTGAAGCATTGTGTAATTAATTACGTGTGTATAAACTGATCACGTAATGTATACAATTTTACTGGTATCAGTATTCGAACTGGCACAATTTTCATTCATTCTAAACTTATGTTTACAATTTTTATAGCACTACAATAGCAATAAAATACATTGTACCTTAAACATAACATTATTATAACCATTAATCCTGCACTTAACTATTAGGTACTTACAAGGCAATTCAATCGGGGATTTCGAAAGTAGATTATGAAGTACTTGAGATGTATCACTTTCAAGCTGTCTATTTATTTATTTATTGAATGGTTTATTACACAAACCGAAAATAGCAGCCCGAGAGCTGAATGACATTCAGTTTACAATAGCAGCACGTGAGATATAATAGCAATATTAAAATAATTACTACATAAAGCTTATGATAAAACATACAAAGATAATATTAATAAGATATAATATTATCAACAAACTAAGTATAATCATCATTATATCCTGCATCAAAAATTTGTTGGCTTTTGATTGGTTGAGAGCTCGTCACATGACCAAAAATATTTGACCTATTTTTAGAAAGTACTATATGAGAGTACTATTTTAGGTTTACTATTTTAATTGAATTAATTTGTTTTTTCTTCAAATCTTAATTTAATGAAAACAAAATATTTTTAATCTTTTTAGATAAAAATTGACATTTTTTGGGGTCTAAATTTGTTTCTCCAATTTTTTTTAATTTTTTTAAAATAAATTTTGATGCAGGATATAAAACAAATATACCATGCCTTCTATTCGAGGTACTGGTTAAACTATGGGCTTCGGTGACTCCAAAAGTACCATTTGCTTCGGGGCTGCGCCCCTCAGCAAATAGTACTATTAGAGTCATCTCTTGCGCATACTTTTAACCAGAACCTCTCAAGGCAGTGTATATTTGTATACTATTTCAAAAGTAAGCACATGGAGCTTGAATCAGTGGGAACAAAGTTACAATTTCAACATTTTTATGAGAGAATTATTTTTTAAAGAAAATCAGCTGAAAAACGCCAAAATATAAACTGTGATCCATATACGGTATATAGATTTGTCGTTATTGAAATGCAATATCCTAAAATATTATTATTGGAGGAGAATAGTTTTTAAAGTGTTACAATGTTAAACAAAAATTTTGAAAAATAAACATTATCTAAAAGAAACAATTACACTTCGCCTAAAGGCAATTCATTTTTATGATATCCTGTTTCTCTACATTTCGGGAAAAAGGGAAAAAAACATTTTACAAAATATTTGTTTAACCCTCACTTTTCGCTTTACTGTTATACTGAATTAATTTAGTGTTTTATTGAGTTTCAACAAAAAGTAGCATAATAGTTATTTCATATTTCAAAATACAATAGCTGCAGGCTATGGTTAACAAAAACACTTTTGTTTTTGGAAGTGATCTAAAATGTTAAACATTGGTTTTGCCAAGCATGCATGAAGTATCCTAATTTTGTCCAAATTCAAAGACTATTGTGTAAGAAACACCCAGTAGAGATATCTGAAGTAATCTTGTGGATTCTAAATGTTGGGTGTTTTACACTTTTACTATTACCAAACAAGTATTTTCTACCAAGAGACTACCTTAACGTTTTAGAAACCTTTCATGTACAAAATGCATGGGTTCATATACAATGTATAGCTACCATGCATCCACCTGGTATCAAATGGGAGGCCAGTACCACCGTGTGTCCGCTCTAAACTCTGTACAATTTCGTTTTAAATCAATATATACATAACTTCATTATCGTGACCACAATACCGTCGCGATGAATACAATTTTAGGCGTTACTCTTTCAAGTGTTTATTGATTATATATTATATATGTTTTTTTTTCTTTCTTCAAATCTTTGTTTACACAGGCCTTGACCTCGCTTGACGTGTTGTCTGCATTTTTGTTGTGATCACGTGCCAACCAGAATACCATTGTCTGTGTGTGAGTGACGATAATCATTTCACTTTAACCCTTACACAGCATTTGTACTTACTAACATGTATTGCGGCTTTGTGAGTTGATTTATGCCTAACCCTATTATTTTAGACAGTTATATTAATGACGATTTTTTTTTTAATTCATCGTCTACATGCATGTTTATGTTTCTTTTAAACTTAATATCATTTGATACTGAATTTGAATTGTAGTTTGCATTTATATAAACACTTTTTCTTGAAGCCTAATACCTTGTCACAGGTTTGCCTCACCCATGCATAGCAATTTCCATGCTGAATTTCGAAACACAAACATTACATTTTCTGGAAATCCGTTCCTGAATCGCTTCACGTATTAATATAATAATGTATTTGTAGGCCTAAATCAACATGTAATTTAGGTTTCTACCAACTGAAAAATGAAATAGGCAAGCTTTCATCCTCTCAGACCTGTGGACTTTCTCAATGCAAGGGAATCTTCACACATGCCATATTCCTGCTGTGTGCTGCCTCGAGATCACTGGAGCGTAGATAGGCGACAATGAATAACCAGACCTGGCAGTGAATAACTTACTCTACTCAGTAAAGGATTAATCTATTCTTTAAACTTTCTTGACCCAAAGTGTTTTATTTGTTCAAGACAAAATCTATAGTAGGGGCATCATCCCGTCGATTGTTATGTCCAGACTCCCGGATGAGATTATACAATTTAAGAGAAATCCTTCCTGGTTATTCACTATTACCTATCGTCGCTCCTGCGATCTCGAGACAGCAGACAGCAAGAAACTGTGTAAAGAACCACTTGGCTTGTCCATGTATTATTAAGTGGGTGGAAGCTTGTCTACTATTTTTCAATCGATGAAAGTTTTCTGCAGCATTCATAATATTGTTCTTTATTTTAGTTTATTATCATGATCATCATTAACATCATCGTCATCATCAATAATTGTTATCATTATTATATACTACAGAGATAAAGAACGAGCTGCGTACACTATAACAACAGACGTCACTCCAGGAGATCCCAAAGATATATTAACCAGTGGAAGAACCTCCACCACCAAGATGTTACAGCCGGAGATGTCAGACATGCCCATGAGTGCCATGAGCCGGGAAATGACCACCAGACGATCTCGTCGGCAGAATACGAACAGGGAGAACGAGTCCGAGGAGATCACCAAGCTCAAAGAGAGACACACCATCCTGGGCGCGGTGAAGAAAGTTGTCCGGGCCGTCATCCCGCACCTAGTGCTCTTGGGTGTGCTTTTCGTGTACCTGGGCTTCGGGGCGTGGGTCTTCTACACGCTGGAAAACAGCTGCTCCCTCGAATGCTACAGGGAGCTTGATGAAGCCAAGGTGAAGATGAGGGGGATCGCCATCAATAGAACAACTTGCACCCCTTCAGGGTCCACGCCCCTTCCTCCTCAAGATGCGATTGGTCGGACGAGTTCCTCTAGCACGAAGGGTGCTGGCAAAGGGACGCCTTACGAAAGCAGTGAAGCTTGTGATGATGACGCTATGGTGGAAGAGATGGATGAACAGTTTGATGTCGTGATGAAGAAGATGGTACGTTCTGGAATGACGATTGGAAGGATGGATTCTCTGCTAGTAGGTCGAACCTGGAATCTCTCCAGCGCTATGCTCTTCAGTATGACGACCATTACCACCATCGGTAAGTTATGTGTAGTATACAGCATTTTGTACATCATCATTTTCTATTGCATATGACGTTTGTGTGTGTGTGTGTGTGTGCGTGTGTGTGTTTGAGAGAGAGAGAGAGAGAGAGAGAGAGACAGAGACAGACAGACAGAGAGAAAGAGCGAGATAGAGAGACAGATATAGATAGGAGAGAGAGAGAGAGAGAGGGACGATATAAATTTAACAGTTCAATTTATAAATATTGAGCTTAGTGCTTATATCCACTTAACTTTCCTTTTTATAACATTATGGTAAAATGGTAATCAAAAGCAATCAATTTGTGAAACTTGTTTCCTCTGTAAAACCAAAGGCTCATATTATGTTGCAAATAATATAATATACGACTGGCCGATTAACATTTAAGCGTAATCATTTCAGTCTTGGTTTCGAACATATTAATTACCATATATTCTTGAAGAAATGACATTAATCATTAATTCATTAATTTCATTTATTTTTTGGATACACGATAACACTAGTCAATTGTAGTTTCATTATTGTGTGTGAAGTTAGGTCGTTGACACGTTGGTTTGCACAAGATGTAGTCAACGAACTAGGTTAATCCATATTAACTTAGTTCGCTCTAACAAAACAGATTTTCAGCCGAGAACGAATAAACCGCATCCGTTAAAATCAAGTACTGTTTACTATATAAAGAAGACCACGAAGGGGTGGTTTCCTTTATCCGTTTATTATCGGGGAATTCGCGCCTTTTCCCACAATAATGATGCGAACTTTAGATTTGTGTACACTTTCACATTATGCACTTAAAGGTAAAGACCAGTATTGGAAACGCCCCAATTTCAAAAAATGAAATGGAAGCTGTCATTACCAATCATGTGAAAGAATATGTTTTGACTAATACATGATGATAAAAAATTTGCCGGGAAACCGCCTACTAATTCATATATTTGGTAAATTTGTTTCTCTCATGGTCTGTGAGAGATATATAGGGTAGTCCCATATACATCTTTCTGTGTATAGTGCTTGTAACTTTACGAAGAATGGGCCAAATTTCTTATCATTTTGATGATTCCAGAACCTCGCAGATGCTAGATGCTAGATGATCAACCTTTTCTGATCGATTCCACAACGTTTCTTTCACAATGCAATCGCATGACCATAACTGGTCTTTACCTTTAAAAATATAATGTAAAGCATCATAATGACTATGATATTCATGACCAATGCCATTATGATTATCATTTTTGTAGAGATGTCGTGGTACAGTGGTTCGTTCACTTGACTCTCAATCAAATGATTGAGGGTTCGAATCCTAACCCGCCACTAACGTCTTCTGGTAAGGCATTAATCTACATGTGCCACTCTTCACCCACGGTCGTTAAATGGGTAACCGGTCATTGCAGTTATCTCAGCAATTTTAAATAGCGCCTGGCTGGAATGCTCCTCAGGGAGTGGGAAATGTGCATTCATTGTGCGCGGGCAAGCCTGAATCATATGACCGGGGTTATATTACATGTATATCTGTAAAGCAGGGCTCCCACTTATAGCCGAGTTGGAACCCTCGAGTTGTGGCGAGCTGGCGCGATCTTATGGCAAGCCGTTTTATTATTAATTGATATCAATGAATAAATTCTTGTTATCAAGAAATAATTTTATGTTGTAAAGCAATGGTAATTCTTGATATCAAGAATTCGATTTCGTGATATCAGGAATTCGATTTCGTGATATCAAGAATTTAATTCTTGATATCAAGAAATATGTTTTAATGATCAAACTGCTTGCCATAAGATCGCGCCAGCTCGCCACAACTCGATGTTCCAACTCGGCTAAGTGGGAGCCCTGCTTAAAGCACTTAGAGATATAGTCGATGCATTAAGAATGTTCGTTATCTTCTTCTTCGTATTATTTCGATGATGATGTCGTTTATAATGATGATGATGAATATAATAATAATCATTTATTTGTAAACTATTATTATGATAATCATTATTATTATTATTTTCATCATCATCATCATCATCATCATCATCATCATCATCATCATCACCATCATCACCATCACCATTGTCTTATTGTTATTGGGCGATGTTTGTATACGTCAGTTGGTTGAAGACACTTCCGGGTTCTTCTTGAACTCTCAAGTGAAAGCAAACAACTTGGCATGAACATCCTAGCAACGATTAACTTCTTTGTGACGCCTGTCAACGTTGACAGAATTTCTTATTATTCACCTTGCGATATTGTCCGAGGATCATTCACAAAATCTTTTTAATTTTAGGCCTACTTCCTGCGTGAATCGAGTGAAGAAAACGAATAAAACTGAAACTGAAACTGAAAACTGAATGTATTAATGAAATGAAAGGAGACATATTGATTCTAGCCGAAGGACAACAGAGAAAGCTTCCTAAAAAATTGTGATGTGGACGTCGGCCATTATTATATTCGGCGCACCATTGATAGGTATAATTATAATTTCAAAATAATTACTTACCACTATATTCCAGCAACCATCATCTCATATTCGGGCTGAGAAATGGTGTATTAATCTAATCTCGATATCTTTGGTAAGTATTATAATTTTGAAAAAAAAATGACAGAATATTTACTTTAAAGGTGTCCATATTTGCGATTGCACTCAAGATTTAGAAGGCCAATGGTCGGGAAAGAGCCAATTTCGCTCAAAATTCAACAAACGGTTTCTCATGTCTTTCTGCTTGTCTTCAGGCAACTTGCCATAGAAAGCTTGAATTCCCCCTTATTACGTATGACCCTGACTACAATGTCTTGTAGCCCCGTATTAATGTAAATCGAAAAGTGACATGCGCATTTCCCTTAATGATTATTTACGTCGGTCACAGACGTAAATAATCATATCTAATAGAGAGTTGACATTAATCGTAACTTACTTGCGATTTATATCAATCACAACTATATACGTAAGAGATATGAGACAGCAAACTTGGGATTGATTGGAGGACTTGCGATTGATTTGGATCAATCGCAACTCTTTGTATGATGGGGCCCTGATTGAAACACGTCTATAAACATTTTTTTTTATAAACACACACCTTCGACTACAATGAGACAATACTTATAAGTATATTCGGTTCTTGTATAGCGCATATCACATTATATTACGTCTCTATGCGCTTCCAAAGAGCTTTGGAAATTATTACCCTAGCTCTATAGCTCCGGCAGCCGTTATCAGCGCACAATGCATTTAAAGGAATAATCCTACCAGTGTATCAGTCTTACTAACAAAAGAAAGCTCTTCCATCATTAATAGCATACGAGAGAAACGTCGCTTCAAGATAAGAACTACACAATAAACAGAACTCCGTGAGTGTCTGATGAGTATATATCCAATATGTTTCCATGGAAGCTAACCACAAACAGACGTAATTGCTCATTAAGACAGAAGGTGACATACGGATGTATTCCCACAGTGTTTTTTCACTGGTTATATGTATAGGGTCCTTATTATGTCAGACACCTAATTCGAAACTAATGATATCTCAACACTATAGGCCATGATTGATGAAGTTAGCTGCTCTTTCCTCCTCATTATCTCATAATCATGATGACGAAAAATAGGGAAAGGGGACAGGATATTGTGACCAAAATGCATTGGACAGATGTCAAAAATGACCTAGGCCTATATTGTTTGTTCTGTCATTACACACTTTCTTCAATAAATGCGCGGCACTTTGAGTTGTCGTATCAAAGGTTTGCCTGAATATAGACTGATAAAGTAAATGGTGGCAACTACAATTGATCTTGTTTTCATACCTACCATAAGCAGATTAACGGAGTCAGGTTTGTCATTAATTATGCACTGCTGAATCTAAACCAATATCAAAATGTTATGACCTGTTTTTAATCAGATATCATTTATTATTTCGATAGTTACAAGCAAAAGCACATCATCATCAAAATAATCAATTTTGCATTGTTGTGCTAAACAATAATCATAACCGTCTGACCCACTTTCGAATCAGAAATCAGAATTATTAACAAAATCGCAGGTTCAGTTTAATTATCAAGAACGCATTAGCAAAATCGTACGATCTTTGTCCTAGATTCAGTCATGTAATGATTTATTATTATTGTTTTCTTATACTTTGGAAACGAATATGCCGGCAGGGCAACCTTGAACCGATTGATTTTGGACTCGGCCTATATTACAGCCGATTGCTATCAATTCTGCGCTTCCAAATCACAAAATTACCCCAAGCTCTGCGCGTATTGCCACGATTACACGAGACCGTGTATATCGTCAATTGGCAACGAAATCCAATATTGTCTGTTTAGTTCCAGAAGGGCGTTTACTCGTAGAGGTTTAATGTCTTTCTTTCCCCACCAATCCAAACTATTAGTATTCCAGTGAACACGGTAAAGTGACTATCATGAGGAGAGGGAGGTGAAGTGAGTTAAGTGTGAGCAATCGAGGAGCTGCGATTCCGTCCGTGACAAAACGAGAGAGAAGTGTGGTTTAATTAAATATCAATTGAAATCATCTACTGTATATGGATATTAGAATGGACATCCTAAAATGTTCCGCTGTACACATAATTATGAGCGTGGTCTTCACTGTTAGATGCAGTGCACGTAATATGACCGCGATTTTCAACAAAGCGTATACAGCATTGCGCTTTGATGCAAATACATGCACACACTTAAAATAGCCATTAAATAACGGCCATAAAAATGTTCATGAATGTCACAGTTTTTCTTGCAGTGATTTGTGACTAATACATCCAGCAAAAAATAGAATGACAAAAAATTTATTCATTGCGCCAATTTTCGATGCCAAGCTATTAAAAATAATCTCGCATTAATGGCAATAACCCTCATACAGAGCAATAAATGTCTCGGAAAAATCCGATGAAAAAGGAGGTTATATTGAACAGTTGCTATGATTATACTTTATGACATTCATTATTCACAAACACAATTGGATTTGGCATTAACGATCTGATCAAGTGGCCAATTTCGTTAAAAGTCGTACGT